ACATTTCATATAAATGCATCATATAGTATGTGGTCTTTTGTGACTAGCTTCTTTCACTTAGCATATCTTCAAAGTGTATCCATGTTGTAGCATGAATCAAACTTCATTTCTTTTTACGGCCAAATAATATTCCATTGTATGTATATACACCCCATTTTGTTCATCCATCCATTCATCAGTTGATGAACTTTTGTATACAAATATTGGTGGGGACGTAGGTTTTTAATTCTCTTGGGCATATACTTAATAGTGAGATTTCTGGGTCATATGCTAACTCTTGGTTTAGTATTTTAAGGAACTGCCAAACCATTTTCCAAAACAGCTGCACCATTTTACAATTTTACTAGTACTGCGTAAAGACTCCAGTTTCTCCACATTTTTGCCAGTGCTTGTTATGTCTTTTTTATTTTCGCCATCTAATGGGTGTATGGTGGTGTCTCACTGTGATTTTAATTTGCATTTCCCTGATGGCTAATGATATTGAGCATATTTTTATGTGCCTATTGGCCATTTGTATAGCTTCTTTGGAGAAATATCTGTTCATATCCATTGTCTGTTTTTAAATTGGTTCCTTTGTCTTTTTAATGCCACATGATGTTATGTATTCTGGATATTAGATACATCTATTTTCATTGACATATCATTTGCAAATGTTTTCTCCCATTCTGTGTGCTATCTTTCTCTTTCTTAATGGTGTCTTGTGAAGTACAAAAGTTTTTGTTCTTGATGAACTTCCATTTATTTTTATTTGTTCTCTTGTGCTTTTGGTGTTTTATCTAAGAAATCGCTGCTTCATCCAGAGTTGTGATATTCTCATATTTTTTTTCTAAAAGTTTTATAGTTTCAGGTCGAGTTTAGATCCACTTTATTTTGTATGTGGTGTGAGGTATGGGTCCAATTCATTTGTTTGCTTGGTGGATATCCAGTTGTCTCAGCATCATTTGTCTAAAAGATTATTCTTCCCCCCATTGAATTGTCTTGGCACCCTTGTTGAAACTCAGTTGAGTATAAATTTGACGGTTTATTTCTAGACTTTCAGTTCTGTTCCTTTGATTATGATAACATACATTGCTATTGAGAGGTGACAATGTGCTAGCAGCCCTCACTCTCAGGGCCTCCTCGGCCTCCAGCTTCGGCGTCCACTCTGGGGTCGCTGGAGGAGCCCTTCAGCCCGCCACGGCACCGTGGGAGCCCCTCTCTGAGCTGGCCGAGGCCGGAGCCTCCTCCCTCTGCTTGCCGGGAGAGGTGTGGAGGGAGAGGCGCGGGTGGGAATCCGGGCTGCATGAGTTCCGGCAGGTGCGGGCGCAGGCTTGGTGGACCCCGCACACGGAGCGGCCGGCAGGCGGGCAGGCAGTGAGAGGCTTAGCACCCGGGCCAGCAGCTGCGGAGGTTGCACCAGGTCCCCCAGCAGTGCCGGCCCGCCGGCGCCGCACTCAAATTCTCCTCCGGCCTTAGCTGCTTCCCCAGGGGGCAGAGCCCGGGACCTGCAGCCCGCCATGTCTGAGCTCCTCCCCCTGCGGTGGGCTCTCCCAGTGGCCTGAGCCTCCCCGACAGGCACCGCCCCCTGCTCCATGGCGCCCAGTCCCATCAACAGCCCAAAGGCTGAGGAGTGCAGGCGCCAATCGGGACTGGCGGGCAGCTCCACCTGCAGCTCAGGTGCAGGATCCACTGGGTGAAGTCAACTGGGCTCCTGAACCAGATGGGGACTTGGAGAACTTTTATATCTAGCTGGAGGATTGTACCTGCACCAATCATTACTCTGTGTCTAGTTCAGGGTTTGTGAATACACCAATTGGTACTCTGTATCTAGCTAACCTAGTGGAGACTTGGGGACTAGCACTCTGTGACTCTGTGTCTAGCACAAGCATTGTAAATGCACCAATCACCACTCTGTGTCTAGCTCAGGGGTTGTAGATACACCAATTGGTACTCTGTATCTAGCTAACTCTGTGTCTAGCTAGCTAGCACTCTGTGACTCTTGTCTAGCTCAAGGATTGTAAAAGTACCAATCAGCACTCTGTCAAAACGGACCAATCAGCTCTCTGTAAAATGGACCAATCAGCAGGATGTGGGTGGGGCCAGATAAGAATAAAAGGAGGCTGCCCCAGCCAGCGGCAACGCCCTCGGGTCCCCTTCCCCACTGTGGAAGCTTTGTTGTTTTGCTCTTTGCAATAAATCTTGCTGCCGCTCACTCTTTGGGTCCACGCTACCATTAAGAGCTGTAACACTCACCACGAAGGTCTGCAGCTTCACTCTTGAAGCCACTGAGACAAGGAACCCATCGGGAAGAACGAACAACTCCAGACGCGCTGCCTTTAAAAGCTGTAACACTCACCACGAAGGTCTGCAGCTGCACTCCTGACAGCGAGACCACGAACCCACCAGAAGGAAGAAGCTCGAGACACATCAGAACGTGTGAAGAAACAAACTCCGAACACACCATCTTTAAGAACTGTAACACTCATAGCGAGGGTCTGCGCCTTCATTCTTGAAGTCAGTGAGACCAAGAACCCACCAATTCCGGGCACACTATCAGAAATCTCTGGGGCAGATGGATTTTTTTGGAGCTAGGCTGTGTTCTTATTAGCTGGGAGCATTGTAGTAATGACAGGTTTCTGGAAGGCTGTTTACTTGGGAAAAGCTTTTAAGAAAGACATTTTAAAGCTGCTTAATTGCCTGCTTTATTTGATGTTGTTTTCTTTGCCTTTGTAAAGTCATAAAGGTCAAAGTGTATACTTGAGGCTTTCTTTATCTTCAGTCTTCTTGGCTGTCCTTGTAGCTATCCGTTTTGAATTCTTATTTTTCTCCTTTAGAACTCTTTTGAGCTTCCGCGAAATTTGAGAGCAAGTTTAGTGAGTTGCACATTTGCATGGCATAGTTTTGGAGTCTCAGTACTGCATGGACTTACAACCAAAGCCCTGTGCTGATCAAATAATCCATAGTTGACCAGATTTCTGGCATGTGGCTGGAAGGTGATGGGGCCAGCTGGCAATCTTCTTGTGGTTTAAGTGCCATTTTGGACCACACAGTACCTTTCATCCCAGGATATTAATCTTAGAAATTCAACTTCCAATCTTAGAAGTTGGAAATTTTTTTGGTGGAGCAGAAAGTGGAAAATTGATTCTTGTTGATGCTGGGCAAAGATTGACAGGAATAACTAGAGTACCGGTAATTCATTTGCCTGCTCTTCTGGTTGGTCAACTAGGTGGTAGTGAACCCCTATTTAGACATCTATCCTCTTGAATTCCTAAAGCACAGATTAGCTTAACTGTCATTCAAATGCCTGGTTTATTAATATTAATTTATACAGTTGCCTTGAAAATACCCCTTTCCTACTGGTACAACAGTTATTAAGCTCTAGTTCAAGACACATTTTAGTTGAATAGTAAACACAAAATTTCTTCAGAATTGTAGCATAAAATGATCTGTGCTTGCTGTGGTAACCATTAATTTAACAAATATTTACATACTATTTAGTGTGCTAGGAGCTATCTCCATCAGTATATTGGCCACCCTTGACACAGTTCTTTAATGAAGCATTTATATGTAAAATCTTTTGTGATTGCCTTGGGGTCTTCCTCCAGGTTTACCTCCCTGCGGCTTAGTAAATAACTGGATTTAGCCAAACACGCTAATGATCAAAAACTTTTATTCATCCATTGATTCAATAAATAAGCCTCCTGTATACCATATGCTGTTATTGCTACTGGAAATACAAAGGTGAGGACAAACAGCCTCAGGCTCTGTCCGGGGACTAGGCTTTTATAGAGTGATTTTGCTTATAACCCTATAATTACATCAACAAGTCAGGCTTATGTATTAACATAACCTTTGACAGCACACAATAGTCATCCGTTTATTAAACAAAACTTAAGTGCCTACTATGTGCTAAAGGAATTTGACTTGTGAAGGTGAGGGACAGCTTCTGTGAGGAAGTGGCAGTGAAGCTGAGCTCTTAGAGAGGAACCAGCTAGACTAAGGAGTAGTGGGAAAGCCTTCCAAGTCAAGAGAGCAACTTGTGCCCTTGGGACTAAAACAAGGTTGGAGTGGCGAGAAGCCAAGGCAGGTACACACAAAACAGCAGAGTAAGACAAGGCCAGCACTTGAAGACTGTGTACGCTGTGTTGAAGGCTTTGCTCTCTATCCTAAGAGCAGAAGGAAGCCATTGAAATGGTGGGGTTTTTTTGTTTTGTGTTTTGTTTTTTGTTTTTTTTTTTTACCCAAAACCACTTTTTACATAGCCTATGAACTTAGTCTTAATTAGAGGCAGATTAGCTCTTGCTCAGATGTATTGATTTCTAGGCAGAAAATGTTAAATTTAAGAAGTTTTGTTTCTTTAGAGCAATGCTACTCCAGCTTCACTGTGCTTAAGAAATTACCGAGAGGACTTGTTAAAACAGATTTTTGGACCCCACCTCCAGAGATTCTGTAAGTCTGGATGGAGTTCAAGAATTTGAATTTCTACTAAATTTCCAGAAGATGCTGATGCACCAGTCCTGTCTCTGGACCAGATTTTAATTAGCAGTTATTAATAGTTAGAGCCATAAAATTAACTCACTTTCTTTGTCATTGTTTTCCTTGTGTGTAAACAGCAGAGGATCATTTTTAGTTATATAATAACCAAGAAATATTTGTGTGTGTGTGTGTGTGTATAGCTGTATTTTACAGAAACCACTTTAAAGCCACAAATTTTACTTATCTATGCATGTTCTAAATATATGTATATAAAAATCACATATACATGTGTATATGGTATATGACTTTCTGAGGTGATGTAGTAAACAGTATTGAAGAGACATTGCTCCAAAAATCAAGAAACTTAATATCAGAAAGAAATTGTGATGAACAAAAATTGATAAAGTTTTTAGGACCCCCTTGACAGTTGCCATTGAGATTTTTGAAAATTAGAGCAGTACAGTTTGGAATTCTGAGACACTTGGAGTTTCAGCAAGGGAATCCTGTATATTAATGCAATCGGTTTTTTATTTTTGTTTTTCTAGATCTAATTACTTGTTTGGACACTGCATCCAATTTTTTGGAACCTGAGTTCAGGTATGATCATATTTGTGATTTTTTTTTTTTTTTTTTTTTTGCTTAAATGTTACTCTTCATTCACTTCTTCATTTTCATTCTGTATACTCTTAGGGTTAATGTATATTGTGTGATACGTATCATTGTTCTGAGACTTCAATAAATTAGAGCTTATTTAAAGCATAAAGCCATTTAGTTGCATGTTTACATTTTGCTTTTATTGTAGCATTTAGATCTGCAAAATGAAAGTATTTTAATATGCTTTGAAAGTAGAACTAGTTGCTTTTCAAAATCTGGCAAAACTGCTAATAAAAGTTGAAAAGGTATTTATGTTTTTTCAAAAAATTGAAAGAGCATGGTTTTGGCTGTTTAGAATTCTCCGGTGTTGTTACTCAAGTACCATTTCTACTATTTTTCTTCTTTATGCCTTTATGCCTCTAATCGAGTTCCTATTTCTGTTTGCTGGCTGCCATTCACACTGCTGCCAAGCTGTTTTCCAAATACATATCTGACCGTTTCCCTGCTGAAAAGTCTTGAGAAACTACTTGTTATGAGAAAAAACAGTTGTTCCAATTTCCTTAACCTGGTCGTCTGGGTCTTTCACAAGCAGTCCTCAGGCCGTTTTTCCAGTCTCATCTTATGTTCTCCATATTGAAATGACTCTGAGTTATTTACACTGCTCTGAGCTCACAGAGCTTTTACCAGAAAACACTTGCCTTCTCTCTGGTTGGCAGGTCATTCTCATCTTTCAAGAGCCATCTTACTAACTTCCTCCAAACTTACTACCACTTCCCCCAAGAACCTTAATTTTGTCTTCAAGAATGGTTCTGTGTGGAAAGCGGGCCCTCTTCAGCATTTGAGGGGGACCCTGGTTAGCTGGGGTAACTCTGGCATCAGTGTATGGTAGACAGCTCTGGCAGAGGGTCAGCTGCACTCGTGCCACTCTCCAGCTCCATGATCTGCCACAAATCCGAGCTCCCATTGTCCCTCTCCAGGGCTGCTGTACTATCGCCTAATGGCGTCCCAGCCTCCACTCATGATATCTCTTTTCTTCCCAGGAGCCAGAATCATCTTTTTTTAAAATACTAATCAGATTATGTATGTAAGCTGCCAAAATCCTTTACTGGCTTCCTATTTTTACTTAGAAATATATTCCAGACTCCTCACCATAGCCCACAAGGCTCCTGCATTACCTGCCCATCTGTCCAGTCTTCTCTCTGACTAACCGTAGTTTTGCTCTCTGCCACCTACTCGCACTGCTGTCCTCACTTCCAGACACGCCCCAGGCCGTCCTGCCTCATGCTGTTCTCTTCCCTCTGACAAGTGTGCATTTCCCACCACTTGTTCTAGTGACATCCCTTAACTCACTGCTGAGGCTTCAGTTTCTAAGAGAGCCACTCTGCCACCCCCATTCCCTGACTGGGGGCGGTACAGAGTCCTGCGTAAGAGCACGGACTCCAGAGCCCATTTGCTGCCTGCTAGCTGTGTGAATGGGCATACAGTTCCTTAATTTCCCAGTTCCCTAAAATGAGGACAACACTAGCATCTCCTGCATAGGGGTCTTATATGGATTACCTAAAGCACTTAGGGTGTTACCTGGCAGTTCATTCAGTTTACTGAATTATTTTGTTACTTGTATTAAGTTAGATTTCTTCCGGTTATTTCAGCGTGACTTTTCTTCATAGCAGAATCAAAATCAATTCTTTGTGTAAGTATTGGTTTAATGTCTTCTGCCACTGGAATATAAACTCAGTGAGGACAGGGGCAATATTTGTTTGACTTTTGTAAACCCAGTACCTTGTACCGCCCTACACCCAACAGACAGCATAATAGACATTCAAATAAATGTGTTGGGTGGATGGGTAGCAGCGGGAGTGAATGTACTTCTTTTAATACAGCTTAAATTGGATCAATAGAGGGTTGGTAAAACATATTATGGCATATCCACAGAATAGAATATCATGTAGCTCTTAAATTTGATGAATAGGTCTTATAGTAAAAACGTGTCTACCATTCATTATGAAATAAAATAATCAAGGCAGTATGTAATAAGAAAAAAAAAGTTGCAAATGTGTGAGTAAAGACACATTATATATGTACGGATGGAAGAAAGTCTGAAAGGGCTTTTTAGAACTGGTGGTCCTGGCCGGACACGGTCATTCACGCCTGAAATCCCAGCACTTTGCGAGGCTGAGATGGGCGGATCACCTGACGTCAGGAGTTTGAGACCAGCCTGGCCAACATGGTGAAACCTCATCTCTACTAAAAATACAAAAATTAGCCGGGGGTAGTGGTACGCACCTGTAATCCCAGCTACTCGGAAGGCTAAAGCAGGAAAATCTCTGAGACCCAGGAGGCGGAGGTTGCAGTGAGCCAAGAAGGTGCCATTGCACTCCAGCCTGGGCAACAGGAGTGAAACTCCGTGTCAAAAAAAAGAACTGGTGAGTCTTTCAGGGTAGTGAAACTATGGTATTCACCCTGAACTGAAAAATGTGTCTGTGATATTTTTGGGGGGTTGCTTTTTTCCCTGTAAAATGCAGCATTATGTAACCTTCTGCTTGTTTTCATTTCTCAGTAAGTACTGCCCAGCTGGTTGTCTGCTTCCTTTTGCTGAGATATCTGGAACAATTCCTCATGGATATAGAGATGTAAGCTGGATATAAACTTATTTGAAAATTGTGATATAACTTTATTTTTTTAGAACTCCAGAGTAGTTAGAGGTGTGTTAATTATATATCCTTACCTTTTACTTTTTTAAGACATTTTTTAGTAATATGCATTTTCTTTTTCTTTGCTAAAACTGTTGTGTTCCAGTACCAATAATCTATGTTTACGAAGAAACTGCCTAGATTAACTGATTTCTCGAGGAAGTAGAGTGTCTTGTTTATGAATTATTAAGAGAAAATTAAAAACGAATCTTTTCTTTTTCCCTTCCTTAAGTCCTCGCCATTGTGCATGGCTGGTGTGCATGCAGGAGTAGTGTCAAACACGTTGGGTGGCCAAATCAGTGTTGTAATTAGTAAAGGTATCCCATATTATGAAAGTTCTTTGGCTAACAACGTCACATCTGTGGTGTAAGTATATATGCAATTTAAAAAATATATGCTATCTATAATTAGCATTCTGGGTAGCAGTGGGCTAAGAACTAGCTAGATCTCAGCAATATCACTGTTAATGGTGTTCATGAAAGAAGGTTTAGGCAGTAAGCACTCACGTTAGCGTGCTCAGTGTCTGTTTTTTGTTTTGTTTTGTTTTGTTTTGAGACCGTTTCGCTCTTGTTGCCCAGGCTGGAGTGCAGTGGCGTGATCTTGGCTCACTGCAATCTCTGCCTTCTGGTTTCAAGCGATTCTCCTTCCTCAGCCTCCCAAGTAACTGGGATTACAGGTGTGTGCCACCATGCCTGTACAAAATAACTTTGTATTTTTAGTAGAGACGTGGTTTCACCGTGTTGGCCAGGCTGGTCTCGAACTCCTGACTCATGGTCCACCCGCCTCGGCCACCCAAAGTGCTGGGATTACAGGCGTGACCCGCCATGCCGGGCCAGTGTCTGCATATTTTGAAGAGTATTGGTGGTGGTGTACTACCTTAGCTTATTGTTCTTCAAAAATGTAGTCCTTTGGAAGAGTAATGTGTTTCTTCTGTCTTTTCTAAGTGTTAAAGTCTACATACGAGTCTAGAAGTTTGTTGCGAGATCCTTATTTATTTTACAGATTGAAAGGCTTAACTACTGTGTTCCTTATAGCACATGGGGATTCAAGATAATTGAAATACTTGAAATATAAATTTAAATTTGACATAAAGTATTACATCATACGCATTATTGTGAATCTTCTTTTCATTCCAAGAGAATATTTTAAGGATGTATTTTCATGGTATCTATAGTGTTCTACTGTTTTACAAAACGTAGAGTAGGCATCAAAAGCAGAAGTTGAAACATTAAATAGAAATGCAGTGTTAGCAATCTGTTTTTATAAATCTTGTCTCTTAGATATGCTCAGTCTTTCAGACAACACTAAGCCTAATTGAAACCAGCTTTTCTTCAGAGGTCCTAGGCCAATTTTCATTCAGAAGACTCGAGTATCATCCACATCCAGATTGGTATACAACAGGATTCAGCAAACTTGTTCTGTAAAGATCCAGCTAATAAATATTTTAGGCTTTACAGGCCACATGTCTCTGCATCTTACTCTTTTTTTGTTTTATTTACAGCTCTTTAACTATTCTTAGCTCACTGCCCATACAAAACAGGCCATGCATGGGCAGCCATTTGCCCATCCCTGGTATAGACTCAACTACCTTCCCTTTTTTTTTTTTTTCTAGATTGTTTTGTGCAGACCCTTTCATTCCTTTACCATGTTATACCTTTAGAAGGATTTAGTGTGTGTGAATTCTCTCTTTCATGCTTTAAAAAAGAAAACAGGGAAAAATTGCATCCTCTTGTAATGGTTTGCGTGTCGGACTAAAGGCAGGAGTGTACACTGAGACTTCTCCCATGAGATGTTGATTTCTTCTTAAAAAAAAAAAAAAAAGAAAAGAAAAGAAAAAGAAATCTATTAGTACCCAACTTTTCTTACATTTATCCCAAAAAACTTGAGCCTCATTCTCTGAGAATTACACCTTTTAGTGTAACATTTGCCACAGAAAAGTGTTAAGAATCCGTTTATTTCATGAAATAAAGTAGTGAGAGATTGACAGTAAACAATGAGTAAATAAATTATGAAAAAGAAGTACATATTAAAGATTACATAGAGAACATTTGCACAATCACATGTGAAACTGGGTGCTAGATACTGGTAGAGAAAGTTGTTTATGCTGATTTCAGAAGTTGTCCTGCTTAGAAATGAGACTTTTTCCCTAGGAACAATATTAGTTGTCTAATTTTTAGCAATGAATTGGTTCTTGGTTCTTTTGTTGGGTGGGGAAAACCAAATCAAGAGAAAATGTTTCACTAAATATGCGGCAATCATGTGTTATGTGAGTATCACCAAAAAAAAAACCCTTCTGTCTTTCAGGGGACACTTATCTACAAGTCTTTTTACATTTAAAACAAGTGGTAAGCCTTTTATGGACTTTATAATTTTTTATTTATATAATTAATATTTTTGAACATTGTCAGGCACTGTGTCACTTGCTGATTTATTGTACTTTCTCACTTAGTTGTCATAATAACACCGTAAGGTAAGATGGTTATCTAATAATATAATGAATAGAACAAATTGGAAGTTTTATATTTATAGAGAAATGGTCATGTAAGCAAGGAAGGTTCCTTAAGAAAGATGACTTTTGAACTTGTCTAAAGAAGTAATCAATTTGTTCAACAGAAAATATTTACTGAGTGCCTTCTTTATGTGCCAGGCATTGCTCTGGTTCGAGTAATAGAGCAGCATTAAAGTGAACAAGATCCTGCCGTCCTGGAGATTACATTCTAGTAGTGAGAGATTGATGATAAGCAATGAATAAATTATTGTTTATAAATAATATACTGTTTACAATATGATAAAGATGTAGGAAAATAAAGAAGTAGAACTGGACCAAAGTTGGGAAGGGCCTTCCTCCCAGGGAAGGCCTCAGGGAGAAGGTAACATAGGCCAGAAACCTGAAGGAGGTAAAGGAGTGAGTTACTCAGTTATTTGGGAAGACTGTCCCAGGGAGAAGATAATGTATCTCCATTAAACTAACAGTCATGCTTGGAAATGAGCATGTTTGTAGGTTTCCTAATGATACACAAAGACATATGCCCAAGAAACACTTGGCTAGTTTTGAAATTTCTCTGTTACAGTGTATTATCAGCATAGTGTATGTTAATTAAATATGGAATAGAAAGTTTTCAGTGAGCAGGTCTACATGCATTTTGAAATTATACCTGGAAACCAAATTTAGTCTTTTCTTTGTTTCAGGTTGTTATGGAACACTGGGGATGGAGTCTGGTGTGATCGCGGATCCTCAAATAACAGCCTCATCTGTGCTGGAGTGGACTGACCACACAGGGCAAGAGAACAGTTGGAAACCCGAAAAAGCCAGGCTGAGAAAACCTGGACCGCCTTGGGCTGCTTTTGCCACTGATGAATACCAGTGGTTACAAATAGATTTGAATAAGGAAAAGAAAATAACAGGTTAAAAGATAAAATTTTCTAGAGCAATTTGTAACACTTATTTTATTTGAAAAACTGGTAGCATCTAAGATTTTCAGAGAAAATTAAGACATTAAAATTTTAATTATATGGTTTTATGTGTTTGCACTGATGTTAATATTACTGGAGACACATTTAATGAAACATGGCAGAGAAAAGGAGTTATTTGTGTTGTCAGGGTTCTCTAAAGGGACACAATGGATAGGACAGATGTATATATAAAAGGGAGTTCATTAAGGTGTATTGACTCACATGATCACGAAGTAAAGTCCCACAGTAGGCCATCTGCAAGCTGAGAAGCAAGGAAGCCATTCCGAGTCCCAAAACCTCAAAAGTAGGGAAGCCGACAGTGCAGCTTTCAGTCTATAGTCAAAGGTCCAAAAGTCCCAAAGCTGAGAACTTGGGAGGGTGATGTTCAAGGGCAGGAAGCATCCAGCATGGAAAGATGCAGGCCGGGAGACTTAAGCCAGTTTAGTCTTTTCACGTTCTTCTGCCTGTTTTTATTCTGGCGGTGCTGATGCTGATTAAATGGTGCCAACCCAGATTGAGGGTGGGTTTGCCTTTCTCGGTCGACTGACTCAAATGTTAATCTCCTCTAGCAACACCCTCACAGACATACCCGGGAACAATACTTTTCATCCTTCAATCAAGTGACACTCAGTATTAACCATCACGGTATTGTATTCGTAACAGCTTTTTGTTTCCATTGTACTGAAACTCTTTTAAGGTAGTGTTTCAGTAAAGTGGTCTTGAGACATCTAAAATAACAGTCTCTTACAGTCATTAAGAAAAATTCGTTAAAGGAGTCCATTTTAAATGATGAGATCATCAATTTTCCACATGTGCAGAGTATAAATTTAATTTAGGGGAACTTAGCAAATGGTCAGAATAATTGGTTGGGATTGGTTTAATTTTGTTAAAATATTTGTTTTGGTACTGTAAATAATACCAATAATCATCTTTAATCTGTTCATTCCCAGGAATCATCTTACCCAGTAGTCAAAATCTGTTTTACGACATTATAAACACAAGACACCAAAATAGAACAGTTCTTTACTTAATGCACACCCATAATTCTTCCTATCTCTCCAAGGGAATAAGGCCAAGGATGTAGTAATTGTTATGATGAAAACGTGCACTTGGATATGGAAATGAGCCTTAATTAGCAATGTTTGAGCTGTGCATTTCAAGTGTTTATACTTTGATGCTGAACAAACTTAGAGAATCAGACCATGTGCATTAATGAAAGCAACTCTTCATTCCCCAGGCATTATAACCACTGGATCCACCATGGTGGAACACAATTACTATGTGTCTGCCTACAGAATCCTGTACAGTGATGATGGGCAGAAATGGACTGTGTACAGAGAGCCTGGTGTGGAGCAAGATAAGGTAAAATGATTACCAAGATATTTTTAAAAAACATTTTTAAAATGGGCGGCTGCCAAAAGTCACAGAGCTCTCCTGTATAAAAGAGATGTAGAAGTTAAGAACATCTTATACTACCCTCTTGCGGTTATTTTAGGTAGTGTTATTGGCCTTACTCTTCTGACTTTAGAAAATTCTCAGTGGTTCTAGGTTCCTTTTGGTGATTGTAACGGTGAGTACTTTTTTGATTTTTGTCATTGCACTTTTAACTGAATTGTTCAGACACTTTATTAAGAAAATCTAAAAGGGACCTCATAAGTTCTTATTTTTATGAAGCTTTTTACAATTCACCGGATGATGGAGAGCCTTTGTTCCCAGATTTCTACTCTGTAGGCAAGAGGTAAAAAAAGAATAAAGCTGAAAACCAACATGCATTAAATTATGGGATATTATAGACTTGAAAATTCATCTGAAGATCATCTCACCAACTTTTATCTAGGAAACTTCTGTTTTTTCTTACATGAAGAATTGCTCTAGCATCTAATTATAATTATGGAATCTTTGTTTCAGTTAGCAACAAATTATGAAGATGCTGGAATGAGCCAGAGGAAATGATAAGGGGTGGGGAGCAGGCAGAGATAGATGTTATTCAGATGTGTATCCCTTTGATCTTTAAATGGAGGAGTCCTCGTGCCTAAGGAAGATAGATGTCTCCCATCAGTACCAAAACTATGGGGCTGGGCATGATGGCTCACTCCTGTAATCCCAGCACTTTGGGATTGCTTGAGCTCAGGAGTTTGAGACCAGCCTGGGCAACATGGCAACACCCTGTCTCCACTAAAAATACAGGAAATTAGCCAGGCATGGTGGCGCATGCCTGTAGTCCCAGCTTCTTGGGAGGCTGAGGTGGGAGAATCACCTGAACCCAGGAGGTTGAGACTGCAGTGAGCTGTGATCACTCCATTGCAATCCAGTCTGGGTGACAGAGGGAGACTCTGTCTCAAAGTGGAAAAAAAGAACTGAAACGATGACATTTTTTTCAAACTTTCCTGAGTGATTTTGATTATATATTTTTATTTTTTATCATGTATGATTTGCTAAAAAGTCTTCCATTACTACTTTTCTCATCTCTCCGTTCAAAAACCTCCAGGGGCTCATTATCTTTCATATGCATCTTAACTCCTTGCTTTTATTCAAGGCCTCTTTCTTCTTCTCTTCTCCTTGGCTTCACATGAACTTCATCTTTGGTGAGCCTCTCCCTGTTACAATAACAATACCATCTCCATACATACCTTCTACTTCATGCCCCTGAACTTGACTGCTGTTTATTCCTACCATGTCCATATTTATTTGTATCACATTTATTGTGCTTGTGGAATATAGCTAAATTTTTGGAATTTTAAGAATTGTTCAGGCTTATACTATAAAAACTTCTAACAACATTAAATGGTATTTCTGAAAAAGATTCTTTGTTGCATTCATTTTTGAAAGGTAATTTCTCTAAATGTAGAAATCTGGGTTGGCCAGTGGTTTTTTTGTTTTTGTTTTTTCCTTTCAATAATTGAAATACGTTGTCTGCTGTTTGCTGGCTTGCATTGTTTTTGACAAGAATTCTGCTATTATCTCTGTTCCTCAAAATGTGATACATCTTTTTTTCTGTGGCTCCTTTTAAGGTTTTCTTTTCATCATTTGTTTTAAGCAGTTTGATTGATGTGGCTTTGTAATATTTTTCTTCCTTTTTTTTTTTTGCTTGGGGTTCTTTGAGCTTTTTGGATATGTAGGTTATGATTTGCATCGAATTTAGAAATTTGTAGTTCTTTTTTTTTTTTCAAATATTTCCTTTCCCCAATTCTAATTTTATGAATATTATGACCCTTAAAGGTATCTCACCATTCACCAATGCTCCGTTCTTTATTTTTTTCAGTCTTTTTCTCTTTGTGTTTTAGTTTGAAAGTTTTCTGTTTTGTCTTCAAGTTCACTAATGTATTCTTCTGAATTGTCTAATCTGTTATTCCCATCCAATGTATTTTTATCTCTGATACTGTACTTTTCACCTCTAGATGTTCAGTTTGGGGGTTTTAAGATGTCTCCAATGTGTCTATGCTTTTCTCTATCTCTGGAACATAGAGCATATATAATAGCTCTTTTAATATCCTCATCTGCTAATGTTATCCTATGTCATATATGGGTCTTTTTATATTGATTGATATTATGGATCGTATTTTACCTGCCTGAATTTTTTTTATTGGATGCCAGACATTGTGTTACATTGTTTGGTACTGGGGTTTTTTGTTATTATTACTCCCTGAAATATTTTTGAGCTTTATTCTGGGATGTAGTTAAGCTACTGGAAACAATGTGATCTTTTCAAGGCTTGCTTTTACACTTCATTAGGCAGGACCTGGACAGCCTTTAGTTTTCTCATTTTTCTCCACCACTGAGACAATACTGTTCTAAGTACTCACTGCAGTGTCCCATGTATTATGAGGTTTCTCGTTCTACCTGTTGGCAGTGTAAGGAATTCCCAGACCTGGGGAGCTCTGAGACTTGTCCTGCTGACTCCTTCCAGTGTTTCTTTTACTGGCCATAGGTCGTTTCTTTACATGCAGCTGAAGATTTAAGGGAAAACTCCTTATACATCCTAGAAGTGCCTCTCTCACACACACACACTCTATCTTTATAGTTCTCTTCTCTCCTAATCTCTGCCTACAAATTCTAGCTACCTTGTTGGCCTCCCACTCTCAGCTCTGTCTCCGCAACTCAGTGAGAACGGCAGGCTCTGTTGGGGATCTCTCTCCCTGCATTGTGGCCTGGAAACTCTACAGACAGTACTGGGACAATAAATAGCAGGCCTCACCTTATTTGTTTCCCTTCTCTCGGTCATTATTGCCCGAGGCAGCCTGTTGGCCCGTGTCTGAGAACTGTTGTTTCATATATATTATCCACTTTCTCAGGTATGTTTAGGGCGGAACGGTAAGTCTAGTCCGTTACTCTCACGGTCAGAAATGCAAGTCCTCACATTGAATTGTATGAATTAACAGACTTTTCCCGCTCATCTAAGTCCATCTGCTCCCTCATCACCTCCAACTCAAGGGTAATTGGTGTATTCATTGTACCCTTTTCTGAGCCTGCACATGTGCATGAGCACACAGAGACTGCCTTTGGTTTTGTTTTCAGAAAATGGGATTAGTATATATTTTTGTTTTCATAATATGTCACTTTCTAACATTATACCATGTTTATGTGTGGTAATCAATAAAACTTCAGTTTCTTGAGGGTGGGAACTGTAGCATCCATATCCATTTTCTCTTCATGACACCTCACATACTTCCCTGTACATGCGGATTCTCAGTAAATGCTCATAGGCTGACGATAGCAAATCTTTTTTACTCAGTTTTTATAAAACCGAGACAGCAAGATAGGGGAAGATCTTAAAGATAGTTTTTATGTGTTAAAGTAATGATTTGTTATCATCCCTGTTTCACCAATATAGTAAGAATGAAAATAATGACCTTTATTTCAGAGTAATATCTGAGGAAATCACGGGAGCTCATTAGCATGGAAGCTATTGTAACTGCAAAACAAACTTTTTAGGAAATGAAGGATATTAACACATTTTTCAAGATGTATAGTCTAATGCCAAGTGAATTAGCCAAGAAGAGATAGAGCCACAATACTTGGAAATAACTTGATTAAAAAGTTAAACATTTACTCTATCCCACCTTAGCTGATTAAAAAAAAATCACTTTCATTTTAGGCAATATATTTATTAATTATTAATTAGACTTATTAATTAATGGTCTTTACAAACTACCTAGTTGATCTGACCTAGAGAACAAACAGGGCTCTTTCTAGCTTATTGGAGGCTATGCTTAAGTCAGAAGACCCAGAGTCAAGTTGCTGCCCTGTCATTGACTAGCTGTGCAATCCACTTACAGATTCCTGTGCCCTCCTATTTCATAGGGTTGTCTGAATTAGTTGCATTGAAATGTTTTATAAATAATTTAAGTGCTGGTCCATTATAAGATACTATCATGATTTGCTTGAAGTAGAATGAGACTCACCTAAACTCATATTTTTACCTAGGGATTATTTTTATAATGCATTTGTTGCTATTTAGTTACAATCATTAAATTAGTCACAGGTCAAGCGTGGTAGCTTACACCTGTAATTCCAGCACTTTGGGGGAGGTCTAGGCGTGAGTATTGCTTGAGGACAGGAGTTTGAGACCAGCCTGAGCAATATAGCAAGACCCCTTTCTACAAAAATAAAAAGTCACCAGGTGCAGTGGCTCACTCCTGTAATCCCAGCATTTTGGGAGGCTGAGGCAGGTGGCTCCCTTGAGGTCAATATGGTGAAACCATGTCTCTACTAAAAATACAAAAATTAGCTGGGTGTGTTGGTGCACACCTGTAACCCCGGCTACTGAGGAGACTGAGGCAGGAGAGTTGCTTGAACTTGGGAGGAAGAGGTTGCAGTGAGCCAGGATCGCACCACTGCACTGTAGCCTGGGCAACAAAGCGAGACCTCTTCTCTAAATAAATAAATAAATACTGCCATACATGTTGGCATATGCCTGTGTAGTCCTAGCTACTCAGGAGGCTGAGGTGGGAGGATCGTTTGAGCCCAGGAGTTCTAGGCTGTATTGCACTATGATCCTGCCAGTGCATTCCTTGGATGACAGAGCAAGACTCTATCTCTAAAAAAATTAATACTTTAAGCATAAAATAGCATTTCAGAGTCACTTCTAGTTTAAATAGCAGCATGGAACGAAAACCAGGATTATAATAGGAGAGCTCTCTTACGCAGTTTATCCAGTAGGTGGAGGTATGTACCTGTTATATGTTTGTTAGTATATGTTCCTTAGTATATGTTCACCTTCAGCCTGTTGAGAGAAAAATTATGAAAAGTACACAAGCAAAATATTTCCCCTAAGACCTGGCATGATCAATTTTGTTTTACTTTAAAAATTAATATATTTAAATAGTTGCTAATTCCACAGGACTAGAGTTACTAATTTATTAATAGGATAAATTGTCTCACTGGATTTGAAACCTTTTACCCAAATGCCAAGTTAGCCCTCTTGTTAAGTTCTTAAATCATCTTAAAATCATTTCTATATTAAATATTTTCTTTTATAAACTTTTGATAAAAATGTGCAGCATCTTAATAGTTTTCCAAATTGTGATTATTTTCTTAAAAATTAATCCTTATTGTCATACTTTACAGATGTAATTTAAGGGCTAGAGCAAAGAACAAAAACATGTTTAAGTGGAGAAATTTAGCCCTGACCGCTGTTGATTTAAAGTACCAATTTTTTTGTTGTTTTTTTTAAAGGTATTTCAAGGAAACAAAGATTATCACCAGGATGTGCGTAATAACTTTTTGCCACCAATTATTGCACGTTTTATTAGAGTGAACCCTACCCAATGGCAGCAGAAAATTGCCATGAAAATGGAGCTGCTCGGATGTCAGTTTATTCCGAAAGGTAAAGAGATGGTGTGTTTAAGACATGTTACTTTTACTGGATTGCCAATTTAAAATGATTTTGCTGTTCTCAGAGAGAATAATTAATAATGTGAGTGTTTTTCTGGTTAAACTGTAATTACAATATCTTCTTAAAGGGATTTTTAAAAAAGAAATGGTTACCATATTAAAAAGTTACTTATCAGAATGGTTTCCAAAATTGTAAGTGGAAGAAGAAATAGCATCATTCATGAGATAATGTAAATGAGATCACTTTCCAAATTTAGTCTCAATCGTAATAATTTTAAATCAGGTCTCATGTACTATAATATTTGTTTAACATAAGCATGAAAGATTGTAACAATACATTTAAAGCAAGAATAATTTATCTCAATATTACACATTTTAATATACTGTTTACTGTTGTACCCCCAAAGGCTCCCACAGTGCCTGACACATCGTTGACCCTCCATAAATAATTATTAAATGAATTGAATAAAGTGGATGACTCCTTTATAGCTTTAGCATTCAACATCACTTTCCACCCCATTATTCTCCTTCCTAAGATTATTTTCAGATGATTTAGTTATTTAAAAACTGAGAAATCCTGGCATATTTGTGCATTTATTGCAGAGTATAATGTTTATCCTTCCAATATATTTCTCTCTGAGAGTTAAAATTATTCTGCAGAATTAAATAGAAAATATTGAAGACATTTAACATTACTATTTTTAACTATGATTTTTAAAAACAAAATGTTTAAATTTTTCTAAACCATTTTTCAAGGTCGTCCTCCAAAACTTACTCAACCTCCACCTCCTCGGAACAGCAATGACCTCAAAAACACTACAACCCCTCCAAAAATAGCCAAAGGTATGCCTGTTTTTAATGTGAGAATTTGATATTCCTTGGATTTATGGTGCAACTTTCCAAAAAATATATTAAAAGCATTATCAAATAAGTTTATGTTAATCAAGTTGGTACAGATTAAAAAGAGCTTTTAAAACTTTTTTAAAGGTCGTGCCCCAAAATTTACGCAACCACTACAACCTCGCAGTAGCAATGAATTTCCTGCACAGACGGAACAAACAACTGCCAGTCCTGATATCAAAAATACTACCGTAACTCCAAATGTAACCAAAGGTATGCAAACATGAAAATGAACGCCTAGTACATAGGGTATTGTTTTGTTTTTAACTCAAGTTTTCACGGGCATTTTTAAACCCTCAGTGTCTTTTCTTCCAACTATAGTTTTTAAGTATAGCAAAAAAAAATGATTTTCTTTCATTGGAAAAGACTGCATTGATCTAAGTTCTAGTCTCTGCTGCCGTGTAGAATTGCTCTTTAAATATTTAGAGGAGGCCACTGTGTTGCAGGCCTCCTCTTGTGATCTATTTTTCCTTACAGCTAAACATACTGACTCTCAGGCTTAGAAATACAGTATTTCCTAGAAATAACTGAAATCATAGCAGGAAACAAACGTGTTTCCCTTGATAATATATTAATTTGATGGATAGGGAACTTGATGGCAAAAAGGAGAAAATAAAAACAGAATTTTAGTGGAAACTAATTGTTAAAAAATACTCTTGAGTTAACATATTCATAAAGAAAAAAAACCTTTAGTCTCTTTTTAAGTGTTTGCAATTATATTTTTTAAGATTATAAATACAAATTTATTAGAATTTACTTTCAAGTTTTGTTATCAGTGATAAATAAGATCTCAAAGTATATAAAACATAGTAGTCTTACTAGTTGTTGAAAAACAAAATTTCAATTGAATTCAAAAAAGTGTCAGTGTCATAGTAGATTATTAGGGTTTCAGCTACTCGGTTTCAGGAAAGTGCAGAGAGAGAAAGCAATTCATTCAAAGTAATTTGTGCCACCTAGAACTTCAGTCATTCTCATTTTTTGAAAGTTTGCCTGGATTCAGATAACTTTCTCTGACTTGCCCAAAGAGAGAATCAAGAGTTCCCAGAGGCAGGAGATCCTCAGCATCTTTTAGCTGCTTACCAGTTGTCAGAAGGCTTGTACTCAGGCAGAATCCCAGACCACATGCCTGAACGGAGATCAGTCACTGAAAAGTGTTGCTCATCTTAAAATCTGATTGCATCTTAGAACCTCAAGGCTAAAAGAGTCCTTAAATAATTTCCTTCCAGAATTAGGATCCCTGTATGCCCAAAAAGAATAACAAAGAATGAGCTGGTCTTCTCAGAGACCTCCTGTCTCTTTTTTGGGGGGATGGTAGTATGTGAACTTATTTTTTGAATCTAAGAAGATGTTTTAAGGCCTCTGATTAAATCACACAGCATCCATCTAAACTTGAGTGTCCTCTCTAGTCTCACAAATCTTACGGAAAAAGCACATTTACTGTTGTGAATTCTGAGTACTTTCTAGTCTAAGTCATTATTTCTGTTTATACACTTCTCCATTTTTACAGCCAGGCTGAGAGTGATTTCATGGAAAAGATTATGTCATGGTCAGATTTGTGCCTCTGTAGTTTCCAGGTCCTCCCTCAGTGGGGCCTGTGGCACCAGCTGGCTGTCCTTCTAAAAGGCTGTAGTAGCTCTTCTGTCTGTTCTCAACTGTAACTATTTTAAATATTCCCCTTATTTTCAAACCCTTCACCCAGATATCTTCACCCACTCTCAGTTACTGCTCCAGCTTCACAGAGAAAGTAGGGAGTTTCCTTCCAGTGAAACTCCCTTTTTGTGGTGCCAACAAACCTATCTGTAGCCTCTGTTCACTGCAGTGAAAAGGGGGCTTCTTTGTGTTGCACAAGGCTGATTGTATCACCTGTGCCCTGGTTCGCCTCCATCCACCTCTCAGGGACCCAGTCTTACTGATTATCCTCTCCCTCTCCTATATCTTCAGCCTCTCTCTCTTTTGAATATAGTTGTTTTAAGGAATAAAGAAGATGCTGCAGATTAGACTCATTGCAGTGTCCGGCTCTGAGCCCCCAGTAAATATCAGCAGGTGCTGCTATTGTCATCTTCATGGCAAGTAGGGGGTTGAGGGACAAAGGAAGAAACTAATATCCCAAATGACCTTAGGCAGATCATTTTCTATATCTGGGCCCAGAATTCCTTATCTCTGGAGTGAAATTAGGGGATTAAATTATCCCGAAATCTCTCCCAGTTCCAGCATGTGCTGGCTTCTGACCTGTTCACACACACATTTCCAATTGACTTTCTTAACACCATGTTGTTACCTTCCCATATATATGTGAATGCTTTGCCATTATGATTTAACATCATTTCAATTGCTGGATTATTTTCTCTTGTAAGGAGGATACCATGATTTATTCCCTCTCATTTTTGGGCATTTGGATTATTTCCAATTTTTCACTCTTATGCAGAAACAGGGAGAACATCTTTAAGGATGCATCTTTTTTCAGTTTCTGAGAGTAAATTCTAGGCATGGAATTGCCAATAGATTTTTGTACATATTGCCCAAAAATGCCAATCAGTGAGATAGTATCAGTTTATATTTCCATTAAAAAATACCTGTTTCCCAGTAGCCTCTTCATCAATTCGTTGCTGTTTTAAATATTTGCCACTTTGATTAGCAAAAGTAGTATTTTGTTCTTGTTTTAACTTTTTTTGTGTTGGTTATTTAACTTATATTTCTTTGAATTCTAGTGAGGCTAACATATTTAATGGTTACTTGTATTTTTTAATGTACTGCTAGTTAATCTCTACTGATTTTTCTCTTAAATGTTTGGATTTGACTTGTAATGCCCTACATTATAATAATTATTTACAGTAACTCTTCACATATGTAGAAAATATATTTTCCCAATTTTTCATTTGTCTTTCAATTTTATTTTAGTGATTTAAAAACTTAGGAAAATTTCAAATCTATACACAGATGGAATGAATAGTGTAACAAGCTTTTGTGTATCTGCAAAAACTGTATTCTGCAGTTACCACCACATGCCATAGTCTTGACAAATAATGTTTATGGTATTTCTGTGAGGTAGAAAAATGTTGAAAGATGATGTGGTTAATTTTCCCTAGTGATTTCTGCCTTTGGTGTTAATATGGCTTTTGTTTGTCTGTTTTTGTCTTTGTAACTTCAGATGTAGCACTGGCTGCAGTTCTTGTCCCTGTGCTGGTCATGGTCCTCACTACTCTCATTCTCATATTAGTGTGTGCCTGGCACTGGAGAAACAGGTTTGTACATAACTAGTTCACCTGAGCCCAAAACTACCAAATGTGAAGTAGAAGCTAAATATAGAATATGAACTACATACAGTGTTTACCTGTTTGAGAGTAAGAGTTAAGGTAGTTATTAGAATGAAAATTTCATGCTTCTCCTTTATTCCCATTGAAAATAAGTCAGTTCAGTTCCACAATCAGTTACTAAGTACCTTTTTTGTATCAAGTTCTGCATTATACACTGGGATATGTACCTTAATAGGAACAATTTCTGACACATGATAGTTACATTTACTTAAAGAATGAGACACAATTCCTTTCTCTGAAGTGTTTAGCAGGGTTGACTAACAAGAAACTATGTCATGTGGTTTGATGAGTTATTTATGTTTTACTAAGGAGAACCATGAGAATTAACTGAAATTTTTTCTTCAGGAAAGGGGAATCCTTAAGTTTAGCTTGCTTTGCCTTAAAGGAATTGTAGTTGGCTAGGTAGAGGAAGGTAGATGTCTTTGTTTGGGCTGCTATAAGAAAATACCATAACCTGGGTGACTTATAAATAATAGAATTGATTTCTCACAATTCTGGAGGCTGAGAAGTCCAAGATCAAAACACTGCAGATGTGATGACCAGGGAGAGCCTGCCTTCTGGCTCATTCATTGACAGTGCCTTCTTGCCCGATCCTCACATGGTAGAATGGATCAACAGGCTCTCTCAGGCCTCTCCTGTAAGGGCACTAATCCCATTCATGAGGACTCTGCCTTCATGACCTAATCACTTACCAAAGCCCCACTTTCTAATAGCATCACTTTGAGGATTAGGATTTCAACATACGAATTTTGGGGAGATGCAAATATTCAGACCATAGCAGTACAGAATGTCCCAACCTGAGCGAATTGTTTGAGTGAAGGCACAGAGATACGGAATGTAGGCAAAATAGTGAGTCATCGCATGTACATTTGGCATGGGAGAGTCCTAAGAAGTAACCATAGAGGTGCAGTCTGGGCCTGGATCAGGAAAGGCTTTTCTGGAAGAGAGAAATTTAGATTTTATTCTATAGATGGAAAGTCATTGAGTGTTAAGCAAAGAGGTGATATTGTCAGCTGATCATACAAAGATGGTGGCAGTTTTGAAGGTAGATTGAAGAGGAGGGAGACTGAGAGACTTAGCAAGATGAGTTAGGAAACCACTTAGGGCAGGCAGGCACATAACACGCTGATTCTAGGAAAGGGAGAAGAGTTGAAGAGGAGACGTTTCCCAGTAGCATCAACAGGATGCATGACTAGTTGTCTAGTAAGGAAGAAGTGATACAGGAGGAATCTGAGGTTTCTGGCTTGTGCAGTTAGACCAGTCATGAGTTGAGATAACAGAGCAGGAGGGACAGGTTTGGTGGAGAATGAGAGTGACTTCATGTGTTCAGCCATTCAACAAATATTTGAATACTTGACTCTTACCCTGTCCCAAGTATTGAGCCATGTGCTGGGGATTCCAGTGATGAACCCCAAAGCTTACAGATTAGGAACAGATGCAACGCAAAAAAAAAAACTCCCAGCTGTAACACCAGCCATAGAATATATGCCATGGGCGGAAGCTGGCGGATCCCACCTTCATGAGCAGGCTGTCTGAGCAGAGACACAGTGAGTGAGTATGAGAACAGTAGGGAAAGGAAAGAGCTTTAGGCAATGCCAAAGAGGAGAGAGCATGATGCATTTAAGGAACTTAGCAACAGCAGTGGTAATAGTGATGAGGCCCGCAGCAGCAGTAGCTAATTTTTATAGAAAATTGAATGCTAGGCCGGGCGCGGTGGCTCACGCCTGTAATCCCAGCACTTTGGGAGACCAAGGCGGGCGGATCACGAGGTCAGGAGATCGGGACTATCCTGGCTACCACGGTGAAACCCCGTCTCTACTAAAAAATACAAAAAACTAGCCGGGCGAGGTGGCAGGCGCCTGTAGTCCCAGCTACTCGGGAGGCTGAGGCAGGAGAATGGCGTGAACCCGGGAGGCGGAGCTTGCAGTGAGCCAAGATCGGGCCACTGCACTCCAGCCTGGGCGACAGAGCAAGACTCCGTCTCAAAAAAAGAAAATTGAATGCTAATCTTAGACACGATTCTACATAATTATTCTAAATACATGTATTAATTCATTTAATCCTCAAAACAATCTATGAAGTAGGTACTATAATCCCCATTTTACAGGAGAAAATGAGACACAACATAAAGAACTTGCCCAAGGTCCCTCGGCTGTTACATAGCAGAGTGTATGTAATACACTCTGTATTGTTTCTGCCATATTTGTGGTGTGTATAGGAGGGCATCCAGAATGAATTTCCACATACTGAAAACAACAGAGAAACAGCAGAGTTTTGGACCAGGCTTAAGAGATCATGCTCTTACCCACTGCTACTCTGAACACATAATGAATAAAGTATAACCTACTGTTACTAAAGCATGGGGTGAAGGGGACTGAGGAGTGCTGCTGTTGAGGGGGCAGTAGGCAGGCAGAGCCTGAGGTCAGTTTGGGATAGTGGGGAGGACTGAGGAGTGCTGCTGTTGAGGGGGCAGTAGGCAGGCAGAACCTGAGGTCAGTTTGGCATAGAGTTGAAAGGACCCTGTGGACATCCAGACTCCTGAGGCCATTCGACCACACACCTGGCGTTAAGGACACAAGATCTGAGCTGGAGAATTGAAGTTACTGTTAGGAATGTAGTCGAAATCACTGATAAGTGGCTTTATGACAAGGAGTAAAGGAGCAGATGCCATTAATGTGCTGTGGAAAATAGGGAGGAGGAGAATGATAATAAAAACAGCTGCAGTTTATTGAATCCAGAGCTCATTCTAAGCACTTTATATGTAATGAATACATGACCCGAAGCTTTGTCACTTGAGATTATAAAAAGTATATAAAATCCTTTATAGTACAACTTATGGCTAATATTCATGCCCTAAATGTGTTGTCGTAGCCATATAGGGTGTCTAACTTCTATTTAGAAAAGATGATTTATTTATTTTTTTGTTTCTAAATCATATGATGATTAGAGCATTTCCAGGGAGAAAGGTGTTTAATCAGTATATTTTATTTTCCATTCAAGTTTTTCATTAACATCTTCAACACTTACTATCTTTTCTACAAATTTTATACTGCACTTTGAAATAATGAAGTAAGTATAGCTACACTTTAAAATGAGGATGCATTTAGTATCAAAAATAGTCTTATACTGGAGAATGTTTCCTAGTAGGAAAAGCACATGGCTTGGGCTTTTTATGAAAACCGCATTTGTGACCTTGAGCAGTTCGCATAGCCATCTTGTCCTCATCTGTAGACTAGAATAATACCTGCTTTCTCCTTAGCTTGCAAAGACTAATTTGAATTAGAATTACCCCCTTGAATCAGAAAATGTTATTTCATTTGCTTGGTTTTTCTTTCTAAAGGGCACTCGGTAAATACTAGTTCTTAATGGAGGGAAATTTTTCCTGGGGAGGAGAAGTCACAATTCTGAGAGGTGGACTGAGGAGGATCTTCTTTGATGCATACGTGACTCTCGCTTCCCCCAAGAGAATTTCAGTGCCTCCCAGGCCTGGAGAGTCATGTTCTCTTCCCTCTCCACTTGTCACTGTTAGTGGGAGCATTGACTTATCCTGGGATGGTTGGAGGAATCAGATCTATGCAATTAAGGGTATGAGACCCTTTAAACTTCTCTAGGGAAAAAGACTGTAGAAGAAAAGCAAGAAGTTGGAGAAAAAAATGCAGAATAGAAAATCAGAAGAAGATGGGTTTTTGAGATCTGTGAATTTTATGACTCAGTTGATTTTTGGTATCTTTATTTGAAACCAAAACAGACAGCGTAATTTACCTATGATAACTCACATATCAGAGGTGATTCTTCGATTTGATTCAGTCTTTTCATCGACAGACTTTGCATTTTTACATTTCTTTTATCCCTTTTGAGTGGGTAATAGGTAGGTAACAAGGTAGCTATGGCAAAAGATGGTTGTTTACTGAGAGTCCAGGATTTATAAACCTCAGCATAGCAACTTTGAAAGTCAGATGAAATGGAGGACTCCCTTGGGTAGATCAGCAAATAGAGAAATGTACTCTAGACTAATTATTAACTTTGGTGTTTGTTCTGTAGTTTCATAAATGTCTTACCAGTGAATTTACTCTATTTGCTAACTTCTGTATTTTTCCAGAAAGAAAAAAACTGAAGGCACCTATGACTTACCTTACTGGGACCGGGCAGGTAACTCACATGGTCTTTGCATCTCATTTCCATCAGAGGGATGTCTCTCCCCTACAGGGGGCAGTAGTGAAAAAAGAGTCATTCCCAACTCCCCGACACTGTTAGAACAATGGCATTACTCTTCAGTTCTCACCGTTTTTACTCTTCTGCAAAATCTCTTGTAGTTCGTAAGTAATGAAGTGAAAAGTACACATTTCTTATAACAAGCTGTTCTTTTTCTTCTGAAAAACTTGTATAGTTTTTCCTGCGTGTCTGTTTCTCATGAGGGAGACTGGCTTTCTGTGGCCCATGTGAACCCTGAGTAAGAAACAAAAGACTGGTCTTCAGGACCCAGTGTGTGTTTGTCCTCTGCCATGGTTATTCACCAAGTGGAGTCCAGCAGTTGAGGAATTGGGAGGTCTCCCATGATGAGTTGTCATCTTCTGAATTGCTGCTAGTGACACCAAAGGGGCCCCCCTACCAGTCTCTCACTTCCCAATCTCACTACTGGATCAGCTCTTAGGAGCCAGGAGAGTTCACTGCTGTGGCTAGGGTAGAGAAGGGCAGCTAGTGCCCCAGGGTAGATCTTGGAAAATATTTTTTGGGAAAAACGTAATTAAAGCCACCCCTAAAATAGATACTCTATCCGGCTGTACTTTACTAACTGATTTGCCTGCGTGTGTTTGGTAGAGATTTCTACCATGTACTGCTTGGTGCTGGATAGTCTATCACAGCAAAAAAAAAAAAAAAAGTTTGATTATAAAGGCAAGTTTGTAGAGATATTTGTTATAGAAATGGCTTAAATGCAACAGGATTCCTCTCTTGATATTACTGTTTGAGATACAGGTTTTTATTTAATGGTCTGTTTGGCTTACCGTCACAATGAAGGTTGGTGGAAAGGAATGAAGCAGTTTCTTCCTGCAAAAGCAGTGGACCATGAGGAAACCCCAGTTCGCTATAGCAGCAGCGAAGTTAATCACCTGAGTCCAAGAGAAGTCACCACAGTGCTGCAGGCTGGCTCTGCAGGTAGCTATGTTGCAGCCTTCTGGCACCAGGCACAGGGAGAAACTGCTTAGGCTTGCTATAAAGTGCTTTGGGATTTACAGTATCTTCGATCCCCTTCATGTTTAAGAAACTAATTGTTTCCTAAAGGTAGAACCACTTTTTAAAAGGTGACTCTTAGAGAGTGATTTCTGTGTCTTGGATGTTGTGTGTGTAAAGTTGGGACACTCATTTCTAAAGACGCTGGGCGTTATGTACATTAACTGAGGCTTTGCTTGTTCGGTTTGTGGGGAGACCTGAGATGTTAAGAGGAGAAGAGGAAAGACAGAGGAAGCTTTACAGTATTTATCCTGTTAGCCTAGTATGTATTCATTTTAAATATTTCCTAATGTTTGAAAAAAATCTCTGAAATTATTTTTCAAGATTTTTATTCCAGTAATTGAATGTTTCTTTTCCAAGGAAATATTCTGAAAATAATTCAGAAAGGAAATATTCAGTAAAGAAATATTCTGTCTGTAAATCTAAAGAACATATGTGAAAACTATGCAGAATTACATGAATGAGACTTTCTGGTATATTGTTACTATGAGAAGTACTAGACAGTATGTTTAATTTTAATTTTTGAAGTTCTTGCAGATTAAGTATTGATGGCAACAAAAGTACCCTAAAGAATGTTTGCTTTTAGTGTAGTCTGCAGCCACCACCCTAAATTATGCAATCCCTTTACTAGTAAAATGACTTCTCTGTTGTTTTGTGATACCCACAGAGTATGCTCAGCCACTCGTAGGAGGAATTGTTGGTACACTTCATCAGAGATCTACCTTTAAACCAGAAGAAGGAAAAGAAGCAGGCTATGCAGACCTAGATCCTTACAACTCACCAGGGCAGGAAGTTTATCATGCCTATGCTGAACCACTCCCAATTACGGGGCCTGAGTATGCAACCCCAATCATCATGGACATGTCAGGGCACCCCTCAGCTTCAGCTGGTCTGCCCGCCACATCCACTTTCAAAGCTACGGGGAACCAACCGCCCCCGCTAGTGGGAACTTACAATACACTTCTCTCCAGGACTGACAGCTGCTCCTCAGCCCAGGCCCAGTATGATACCCCGAAAGGTGGGAAGCCAGGTCCACCTGCCCCAGACGAATTGGTGTACCAGGTGCCACAGAGCACACAGGAAGTATCAGGAGCAGGAAGGGATGGGGAATGTGATGTTTTTAAAGAAACCCTTTGAAGGTGATGCTGCTTTTTACAAAGCATCGTTTTAAAGCACATGGCCTTTTTTTTTTTTTTTTTTAATTATTAGTGGTAGTAATATATAGAATGTATTACATATCTGTCACTGAAGTGGTTGGGGAAAATGTGGTGACCAAGGTACAGGAAACTACTAATCTTGCCATCTTGCTTTAAAGGTGTTATGGTGGCACAGTTACTGCTCGCCTGTTAAATTTCAAATGTCCTGTTTGATACTACTGTAGAACACTATTTTTAATACAGAAAAAGCTCCCTATAATGCACTTCAGAGAAATGAAAAATCACTGAGAGTATTTATTACCAATGCTGCAGGTACATTAATGAACTCGAGATGGCTCTGTAAGCCTGACTGGCAATAACGCATGGTACTGTTCTTGAAATACCTAATGGCTTGAAATTCTAGTCTTGTTTGTGAAAGATGGGTACTATCATGATTTCCTCTTTTATTCCTATATTCTTTTCTGGATTTTTTTTTTTAATAATTACTGATATAAGCATTGTTTTGATTGCAGCCGTATCCACTTATCCATCTTAAGATCTCTAGCTGGGATTCTCTGACTTGTAATGAGCAGGGGGATTGCTTTTTCACTTTGTGACACTCTTTAGAGCTTTAATGCTTCACAGTATATGGCCTGGTCTCGTCCTTGCGTGTTCCACTTGAGGCCCTTGGTGGCTTGCCCCATTCTTGTGTTTGTAAAATGTTTATTTCTGATGAGTGATGCTTGCCTTAGTCTCATGAATTCAGATCCCTTCATGTCTTTAAGTATGCTCCTCTATGTGTAAACAGGAACAACTTGACGATTTGAAAGCTTTAAAGGAGATTCTTCTCCCACCCCCAACTTTATTTACAATGGGATTTTTCCTAGGAGAGTTATGAAAAGTTGAAGGCTTCTAAGGGAGTGCTGTAAACATGATCCACTTACATTTATCACAGTGAAAGGCAAAATTATTCACTCAGAAGTAATATAAATTACCTCTTTAAAAAGTAACCAGAATTTGTCCTTTTGGGTTTTATACATTCACAAAAATACATTTTTCTTGAGTCTCAAGGTATTTTACATTTTTAGTCAGAAAAAATAATTTTTCATTTCAGTTTTCCATAAACTATTACACACAATATAAACCTAACGTGTATTTTTCAGGACTGCATGATCGTGCACTTTGTCTATGTGGTAAGAGGTTTGAGTAATCCTGTATGTCACCTAGGAACAGACATTATAGCTTCCTAGCAAATGAATATTCATGCCTTGTTTTTGATACCTCCTGGCAGCTTCCATGTCACCACTTGTTCATACCTGCCCAGAGCTAGTTTTAGACACAGCAAAATAGAAACCCTCTGTAATTTATTAGCCAACAATGTAAAACCATCTTTAAAAGCCTTCAGACTGGCAACATGACATGAGCAGTTCACCATATGATAAAAATATATAAATCTGACATTCCCTCTTCCATAAACCTTTGTAGATGTAATGTAGAACAGTACTTTTCCATAAAGTTCGAGTCACTTCTGTTGGCCTGAGCCACCAGATTATGTTGTTGCCAGAATTCACTCAATTTGAATAAAGATGAACAGTATTTGTTTTCTTGCTTCCATGAATTATATCAGTATTCTAAAACATGGCTTCAGAAAGAGAACTGTTTATTTCTGCAGGCTTCCTGCCCTTTTGTGGTATGGTTTTGTTGGCCTTATTTTCACTGGTTTTTCCTTCTCCAGACTTTGAGGCGCAATTTCATTCATTGAAAAATCAATACATATTTTGTTTCAAAATGTTTGAAACAAAAGACATAGATGTTAGACTTTTATGAAAACATACATGGATGTGTATTATTAACGCAGTCATCCCTTTTCAGGTGGGAGGAGAGCAAGCCAGTTGATTTTTTTAATTCATCCTTAACACAGAGAATATACTTTTCCTCAAGTAATATACCTGTTTGAAGCTTTAAGAGAGATGTTTTTGGTAACTATTTCATTTTCCCAAAGAAGTTTGCTATTCTTATGTTAATTGTGTATACCTGATTGATTGTTTTTTCCTGGAGGTTTTTGTTGTTGTTTAGTTTTGGTTTTTTTTTTTTTTTAAGAGGCAAGTGTTTCTGAAATGATGCATATTTTAAGACTCAATTCATATTGCCACTGTGCTATCCTTGAACTACCAATAATTTTTATAAAATATCTAGTTTTTACTACTTTTATATAAACTTTACTTTCCAGATGAAGAGCTGAGCCTGATTCAAATGGTTTTTCTGCTTTGTACTTCTTTTTAGTTTATTGGTTTTTATAGTAGAGGTTTTCTATTTTTTTTTTTTTAACTACATTTATATCTGATACATATATAGCTTTGGAGACAATCAAGTAACAACTGAAAATGTGAAAGTAACTGTATCTGACAAAATTCCCTTGTATTTTTATCCTTTGCTTGCAACATTTAAGACTTAAAGTCACTGGTGTATTGGATTAAGTTTTTTCTTATTAATACAGTTATAGAAATACATCAGAGACACAACAAATGTGGCCATTACAGGTTTCATAAAATTACACTGACTTGGCTGTTACTTGATCTTAGGAAACAGCACAGTTTAAGATATTGTGAATTCTGACTTATACTTTATTAAATGCTGTAAATCTAAATAGATCCTGTTGTATGTGCTGGGTCTAGTCCAGTTTATTTAAGTCCACGTTTCACTGTTTGCACTTTGCATTGAACAATGGGTTTATTCACTGATGTAAATGGTTCGAGTGAAGAATTAATGCAGTAATTACGACAACACATACACTTGCCTCTCCCCATCCCCAGAAGAGGGGAGCAGAATCCGAGCTTATCTAAATATGAATGTGGCCACAAAGCTGTGGAAAGTGACAAAGCTTGAACACCTTTGCCCTGGCTCTTCATTGTCACCTAGAGAGCAAGAGGTCTATAGAAACATCATGTCAGATGAGACGATTCTCTTCTTTTTGGTTCTGAACTTGAAGTCCCTAAACTGCAAAATCTAAGAGTTGGATGGTTATTAAAATGCTTTTAAAGTCAACTGTGGCACCAATTCTCATGTAATCCAACTTTTTTTTTTTTTTTGGTGGCACTGGGCAAAGTGGAAACAAACATGTATTGAAATACATATTGGAAATAAAAATGGTTTGAGCGTCAGTGATATTCTCCCAGAATGTACTTTTCTTACCTCGGCATGTACTGTAGTCACTCAGTATTTGTATATGTTGCTAGAATTTAGATTGTAAAATAGTGAAATTTTAATGTGTTCATTTGTTTTTAATAAATTGTATATATGTCTTGCTCAGATTATTTGGTTTAAATAAAACAACCTTGAGGTTTGTAGCTTTTCCTTATACTATAAAATGCCAGATTCTTCGATTTTAACATCACTCATTTATGGCCAATATTGTGCTTCCAGCAACATTTGAAAATGCCACTATTGGTTTTTACTTTGACTTTTTCTATGACCAGCACCATCCTTTTTTTAAAAAAGTAATTTCACCTTTTATTTTAGATTCTAAGGGTACATGTGCAGGTTTGTTACATGGGTATATTGTGTGATACTGAGGTTTGTGGTATGAATGATCCTGTCATCCAGGTTGTCAGCATAGTACCCAATACATAGTCTTTCAGCCCTTGCCCTTCCTCCTCCCCTCACTCCCCCCGCCCCAGTCCTCAGTGTCTGTCGTTCCCATCTTTATGTCCTTGTGTACCCACAGCACCATCCTTTTTGAAGCCTGATTCACTTTATATCAACTGAACTTCAGCAGCCACACTGCAGCCTGTAGCTGTTGGTATGAGGGGAAAATCACACTGATTACATGTGATTCCAGTTCTGGTACCTTCCTTTTGCACCTCAAAGTTAGAAGAATCAAAACTGTGGCACTCTGCAAACATATGCTGGTATTCATAGACATAGTCCATAATTAATGTCTGATCTGGGTTAAATCAGCTACTACTATTCTCCCCTTTATCCTGCTTTATAAGTACCGCATTCTGTTTCTGAGCCCGATCTAATGTATTTCACCCTTTATACACCCTCTTTAGAGAGGCAGGTTGGTTGTCAGTAATCAAGCCATGGTTTTCCAGTGTTTTCCAATTGTATTTATTGTTCAAAAGAGAGTAATTCTTTCTTCAGCTCATACCTCTTCTGACAACTTTTAGTTCCATCCTTATAACCTCTATTCTGTTCCTTCACCTCTCATTCCCCCACCTCCAGATGGCCTTTGGTTACATTTATTAAAATACGGGAAGGGAGACTACCTCACCACATTTGTAGGCTTGACTGGCTTGCGTCGGATCAGATTCTCTGGTGCACCCTAGGTAGCCAGGCAAGCTTTCCATCTGAAGATTAGCTTTAATCATGGGAAAATGAGATTTTCTTTTTTTACCATTTAAATCCAAAAATGCCAACTTCACTTTTTATTTTTTTTGGAAGACAGTCTCACTGTCACCGAGGCTGGAGTGTAGTGGCGCAGTCTCGGCTCACTGCAACCTCTGCCTACCAGGCTCAAGCAATTCTCATGCCTCAGCCTCCCAAGTAGCTGGGACTATAGTGCGTACCATGACGCCCAGCTAATTTTTTTGTATTTTAGTAGAGATGAGGTTTCACACCATGTTGGCCAGGCTGGTCTTGAACTCCTGAGTTCAGGCAATCCAGCTGCCTCCCTCAGCCTCCCAAAGTGTTAGGATTACAGGTGTGAGCCACCATGCCCGGCCTCAGCTTGACTTTTCTTAAGTGTTTACTTGTTCTGTTATCTTACGTACCTTTCCTAATTTACTTCAAGTGGAAAACCTTCAAAATTTAATAAGTCAGGCAAAAAAAAATAATGTTCAAGATTTTTTTTTCCTTCTTGAGCTTGCCTAGCTTAGCTTCATTGTATAAAGTTAAACTTCATTTCTTTAAAATAATACAAAGCCATCAGACTTTAGTAATTGTATTCTTTAGTTATTTACTTATCTAGAACTTTATGTTTAGCCTATTTCCTTTAACTTAAAAACACTGCCTTAATTGTACCCAATTACTCTTCACAATCATGGTTCATTTAATTCTGGGGTTGTCAGGGGAGAGTTTAAACCAGTATGAACTTAGATTTCCAGAGCCGAGTGGTTTCAGCTCGCCACATCAAGCCACATCATGTGATTTTCCACGAGCCATGTTTACAGTAGCCAAATATACTTCTCAAAATGTCTTACTCCAGTCAGAATTGTTGTGGTAAACTAAATCCTTAATAAAGTCATATCCCTTCAAAAATCTAAGATGAAGTTACTATAAAAAGACGTGTAAAAACACCTCAGAAAACTAGCTTATTTTAAAAACAATGCAATCAAAACTTACTTTCCCGATATCTTAACCTTTCTTGGTTTTCATAAGTTAAATATACAGTATTCACAGAAATTAAGCTGGTGGTTATGAATCACCAGGCAGCAACAGACAATAAACATAATTATTCGACGAGTGCATCCAACATACTTTAAACTAAAAATTGCAGTACAAAAATAAAACTAACACTGTTAGCATCATCTTCCGAGTCTGTAGAGTCAGTCTTGAGTCAAGTTGATTACCAGGTTTTTTTCTATAATGTCCTTCAAAAAGAGCTGCTCTGCAGTCACGTTGTGATACGCGTTCTAAAGAAGAAAAATGCAGTTACCGTCCTTCCCAGTCTCAACGTGTTAGCAGTTCCGATGGAATACTTTATATTTAAAAAGTTCTGAATGAAGAACTCGAATGTTAAGTAACGAGTTGCATGGACTTTTAACTTTTGATAGCCTTTTAAATTACTTTCCTTGCTGGTTCTTGTGCAAAAGCTTTCCCTACAGCCCACTCTTTCCACTTCAACTCTCACATAAGTAAGGCTCCTTCATATCAAACCCTGGTAGACCGAATCATGGTACAATACAAATCTGGAGACCAAAATTTTGAGTTGTTCACTTTAATGGAAGAAGCCCCTAGAACTCAGTTTAAGAACAAACAAACAAATCAGCCTGGAGAGAAGAAACTTATAATGCCTAGTTCAGTTTAAGATGTGTTAAAAATTACTGTTCTATACATGAATATCTAAGTTTTCTTCCTGAGGAAGTTGTTTTAATATTCTGCTTTTTAGGTGACACTTGAAATACCACAAGTGCTACGGGAAAGTTTAGGGCCGAGGAGAAATGAGCCTAATCCAAAGTCTGTTGGGGCACCTAATTCTTGAAATACTTAAGTGCTTGTCTTACGTGGTGGGGACAGAGGATGAGGATGAGGGACAAAAGACAATACTAAAATCTAACCTGATTTATGCCACTTCCTCAGCTTATATTATAGTGGGATGATTCAAGGGGACTCATTTCATGAGATATATCCCTATACTTTATATCAAGTAATATTTCAATATTAAAAGTATACAGATAACATTTTAATCCTATCACTTGTGATGCACTACTCATTTACATTAGAATTAGAAAACTAGCAAACTCCTTCCCAGTCAAGTAACATACAAATCCTTAGTCAGGCACAGCAGCTCATGCCTGTAATCCCAGCACTTTGGGAAGCTAAGGCGGGCAGATCACATGAGACCAGGAGTTCGAGACCAGCCGGGCCAACATGGCAAAAACTCGTCTCTACAAAAATACAAAAAAAGAAAAAAAAAATTTGGCCGGGCGCGGTGGCTCAAGCCTGTAATCCCAGCACTTTGGGAGGCCGAGACGGGCGGATCACGAGGTCAGGAGATCGAGACCCCAGCCCTGCGTGAACACGGTGAAACCCGCGTCCTCTACTAAAAAATACAAAAAACTAGCCGGGCGAGGTGGGGGCGCCTGTAGTCCCAGCTACTCGGGAGGCTGAGAGCAGGAGGAATGGCGTAAACCCGGGAGGCAGAGTTTGCAGTGAGCTGAGATCATGTCACTGCACTCCAGCCTGGGCGGAAAGTGCAAGGACTCTGTCTCAAAAAAAAAAAAAAGAAAAAAAGAAAAAAAAAATTAGCTGGGCGTGGTGGAGGGGTGCCTGTTATCCCAGCAACTAGGGAGACTGAAGCAGGGAGAATCACTTGAACCTGCAGGCAAAGGTTGCAGTGAGCCGAGATTGTGCCACTGCCACTCCAGCCTGGGGCGAAACAGTGAGACCTGTCTCAAAAAAAAAAAAAAAAAAAAAGCGAAAATTGTTAAAAAACAAAACAAAATACAAAACCCTCTCTATTAATCCCTATTCAAGAGAAGTGTGATCCAGTATGAAGGTTTGTAACCTTTTTGACCATGAAGATTCTCTTGTAGGGTTAAAATATTCTAGATCATCTTGTCTACTTATAAACAACTGAGAATAATTAAGCATAGCAATGCAAGGTGAATTTGTAATATCTCAAACATAGCAGGTTGGCTGAATTTCCATAGTGCAAATATGATAGAATATCTAAAGTAAGGTTCTGTACTTATATGGATTTGATGACAGTTGGCAATAACCATGAGGCCCATAAATTGGGATTTGATGCTGTAGTAAAATGATCCTGTACATGAGTTCTAGTTGCAGCCCTTGGTAGCCCTGTAATCCCCATCAAGCCCCTCAACCACTCAAAACCTGGTCCCTCAGTAATGAGTGTGAGAAGAGAAAATATGGGATTTCCATCCCTCAAGGATTAGTCCAAAGCATATGTATATTACCTAAAGTACATTACCTTATTCATCAAAGACATGGTGGCATTCCCATAGTAGTGCAAAGGACTCTTGAGGTCAGAAAAGTTGTATTTAAAACCAGCTAGGTGAACTTCGTGACATATGTAAAATGCCAATGTGATGGCAATAATTCCTGTTGTTGGGTGTTTAGGTTTCTGGGGGAGGGAACGAAAAAAAAATTTTTAAGCAAAAGGAGCTACTTGTTTGCAAACCATATTTAGTTGGCCGAATCATATAAAACAGGGATTTCTAAACATTTAATAAGGAGGAAAATAATTAAGCTCTCATATAAGGCTCAAGCCCCAAAGAGTATGCATATATACCTTAACTCTAAAAAATATATAAACTGTGACTGAAATCTTAGGAAGTCTTTAAAATAAAATATAGTTGCGGTATTAGCCCAGAGGACAACTATCAAATGAAAGAATACTGTGAGGCTTAAGGAAGAGAATGTTGCTGTATTGTTTTAAAAAATACAAAAACATGATGAGTCAGGCTTCTTACAGCAAAAGCAAAGCCTGGGAATTTTGAACATGTATGAATTTTAAGGACAGCTTAATTTGCAAATGGATGGAATCATGATAAAAGACTTCATATAAATTCGCCTTCGAATAGCTGTATTTTATACTCACCATTTAACTCTAGGGAAAGGCTAATCAAGCACTTCAATGACAAATTGTAATAGTATCTGACTAGAAAATAAATATTCCAAATGCATACATAGCAATATCACAATCTCAACTGCACCATTAGTTTTTTAGAAAAAAAAACCAAGCATCCTCTTTCCTTGTCTTACATATATCTTGAAAACCAGTCTGACAGATATTTGACAAGAGGGTCTTGGCTTCCAGAAATTGTAATTTTCACTGAGATGGGCTTCAAAGCAAAAAATAAGATATATCGTAAGCTTTTTATATAACGCTTTCAATAAAGTGTTTCTTATAGTTCCCATTGAAATTACATATGACTTAGTATGATTTTGAGGAAAAGAAAAAAAAATCGAAGAAGCACAATCAAATCAAATCAACTCCAGGAGGCAAACTTGTCTGAAAGTGTTAACTGCCTTCAGCATAAACTTTTCTTTATCCTGTGTACCACTGTAACCTAGAAGTCATTCAGCCTCAGTGATCCCATTACTTTTTCCTTCTCCTTGCCCCTTTTAATGTCTTCTACTTCCTTTCTTCACATCTTAAGAGTCCTTCGGCCAGGCGCGGTGACTCACGCCTATAATCCCAGCACTTTGGGAGGCCGAGGCGGGCGGATCACAAGGCCAGGAGATCGAGACCATCCTGGTTAACACGGTGAAACCCCGTCTCTACTAAGAATACAAAAAATCAGCCGGGCGTGGTGGCGGCGCCTGTAGTCCCAGCTACTCGGGAGGCTGAGGCAGGAGAATGGCGTGAACCCGGGAGGCGGAGCTTGCAGTGAGCCGAGATCCCGCCACAGCACTCTAGCCTGGGCGACAGAGCGAGACTCCATCTCAGAAAAAAAAAAAAAAAAAAAAAGAGTCCTTCATCCGTCTTTATAACCACTCCTTTATGTAGACCAGCTCTTCTGCAGCCATCACTCACAGAACCTATATTACTGCCTGACAAAACTCTTAGAAGAGGAATAAGCACTGCAGTCAACCTGTACCCACACCCCAGCAACAGAATAGGGCAGCAGAAAAATATGCTTATGACCCAACTCTCAAACAGGAATTAAGTATGCCCAGCAATCCAGTTACGTTTGACTAGTAAATTTCCATTCCTACTCTCCAAGATGAGAATTTATAACTTTGTATCCTCCAACAGCCCTACTCTCCTTCCTAATTTGACTATTTAATCTCTATTTTTTAAGGAAACAAAAGCAGTCAAAAGAATGACTTCAACCGAACTCCAAATCTACCATGTTACCTGTATCTTTACTCACATTTGCAGTGCTTATTCTCCTATAATGGATGAGATGTAACTTCAGCAACTTTTCACTAGTCTATATTTTATCCCATATCACTTCTCAACAATTTTACTTCTGTACTTATTTACTTTCTCCCCTCATCATCAGTGTTTCTTTCTGCTGAACCGCTCCCTTCAGCATATACACAGACCAACAAAGAACAAAACACGCTTCTTCAATCCTGTATCATCTTCCAACTACTGCTTCATTTCTCTGATCCTTGTTCTAGCAAAAAGTCCACTAAAGATTTGTTGCTGCTTGCTCATGTCCCAGGTTCTCTTCAACCTAATTCAAGCAGGCTTTTTCCTTCTTTCTTGTTGTCAATATATATCACCAATATGACCTCCACGTTTCTAAAACCAGGGTTTATTATTTACGTTCAACCTCTGGACAGCATCCGATATGGCTGACTTCTCTTGAAATACCGCATTTGGTTTCTGGGACACCATGTCCTACTGGGACTTTGATATAGCTACAGTTCGTTCTAATGTTATCGCTAAGTATGTTCAGGGTCTTCCTGTGCTTTTGGAATTAAAGATATTACCTAAAATGAAGAAGCAAGAGATGTACCTGATCATACTTCACTTAGAAAGATAGGAACTGAAAAGTCACAAAACACACATTCAGAAGCTGTCCTTTACCCTCAAAATTACTAGGAAGTCAGCTTTAAAATCAAAACACGGATGCTTTTTGACTTGAGCATTCCACTTCCAGCAGTCTATCCTACAGAAATGCGACAAATGGGCAGAAAACCCCTATAAACACATGTACTACTACATTATTTAAAGAGAAGAAAATGTTGGATATATCTGAGTGTCTATAAATAGGGGAAGAGTTAAATAAAGGGAAAAAAGAAAATAACAATACCTATGGTATAATCATAATTATACTGAACAAACAAAAAGGGTGTGTGTTTATGAATGCATAGCAAATAGTCTGGAAGCACATAAAAGGTAGAAAAGCTTGAGAGATTACATGGGTTACAGAGGGAAGAGAAAAGAATGGTGACTTCCTTTTTGATTTTTAATATTATTTTCAGTGTGCAACACTAACTTATTTGTTTTCAGCATATAACACTTTTGAATTTCTTAATCACGATTTTTATCATGCTAAATATACATCATGAAAATACATGATATATATTTATTTATTTGGATTTTTCCCTACTTTAAAAAGGGGGAAAAAACTCATTTCAACCAAGGTATCATGTTATACAGTTACTCAAGCTTCCAGGGAAAAATATATCTGCCACCGTATGGGTGTAGAGTATTGTTTTCTAGGGAAAGTAGGCAAACAGGAGTGAAAGTCAATGAGATTTCAATTTGAAGTTTCAAGAACTCTTTCAATATGGCTGTAACTGCCATTTCTTGAGAATTCAGTGCCAACATTTCCTCTGACCACAGAAATGTTTCTGGACTACTTTATTGCCCTTCCTCACCTTTCCTCTGGCTTTCCTGTGATATTTTTATCAGAGCATCTCAGACAGTTCTTTTCAGCTTGCAAAGCCATGCACTTGTCCTGAAGCCAGGCCAGCTACTCTGAGCACAAGCCTGCCCGTCAGCCCACCCAGTCAGACTCTCCTCACTGCAGAACACTGAGGACAGAGTTATGAAAGAAAAACTGTTTGAGCATGCGCAAAGAGACCCCAGGAAGGCCCTACAAGGGCAGGAAAAAACCCAACTTAAAATTATATTTCCTTGCAACATAAATGAAAAACATAAAGATAATATCCACAGATAACTACTTTCACTAACTCAGAGAGGACCCTCAGAAATCATCTCATGAGATGATTTTTTTTTTTTTTTTGAGAGTTCCCAGGACCCTCTATCCTACCTCAGCCAGATCGGTAGTTTGAAACCATGCAGAGATAAATACATACCTGATTTTTGGGAAACACTTTTGGAAAATGAAGCAGTTCATAAGCTGCTGTTCTGATAATGAAAGGATCTAATATTCGGATTTGATAAGGTTTATAAATCAGGTTTAAGGCTGGTTTCTTCCAAAAACCATTAGTGTTCTGAAAGTAAGAATATAGAGAATAGCACAGTGTGGCTGTCTGTTTTTTAAGGAAAAAAAGCACTACAGGTAATCTGAAGGCAGAACAATTTTGCCTACTTACTATTTTGTCACCCATCAACAATTCCAACAGCCACCTTAAATCATGTGGCTTAAAAGCAGTGAGAATCACTGTCGTATTAGGGTCATTGTGAATGGGATCTGAAAAAACAGATTCTGGATAAAAAAGTCGGAAGGTTGTCCTTCTCCCAACTTCTTCTTCGTGTCCTAAAACAGGACCATTATTCATTCTGTGGATAGTAAAACATACAAGATATGTAGACCAAGTGCAGTATGTGCCATTTCCATCACAGTTCTCAGAGGTTTCAGAGTTGGACAAACATCAGCCTTTATCCTGCACTCTGAAGCCACAAAGCAACAGATCAATCTTTCACACATAATGCCCAAGAAGATCATTCCTTTTCATTAAATCATTGGTTGATCAAAGGCAGAAATACTCATTTGTATTTGAAAATTAATTGTGGAGCCAGTGATAATTCAGTCTTCCCTCCAGGGGAACTGAAGACTAAATTTAAAAAATGGGAACACAGAGCCCCAGGATACCAGAGTTGAAAGAGACCTTGGAGGACAAACCCCTGGAGAGAAAATTACTTGCTCAAAGCCACACAGTCATATAGCACATGGATGTGTGTGACTAACAGGTAAGAAGAATCACATTTCAGTTGGTTTAAAGACTCATCAAAATTGTTGTACTCTGAAATAAAGTTAACAATATAAATTTGCTATATTATATTCAAGCACAACCAAATGAATGTCTATTGCTAGAGTAAACTAAAGAACCACAAAGGATCTACTGTTGAGTTTGTGTATGCTGAAAGCCAAGGTTGGACATGCACTATTTATGTACACATTATGAAGGAATGCTATAAAAAAAGAAATGCTGTTTCCAAAACAGTGTCCCCAAGGAGGATAAATACTGTTTTGCCCTTTGCCACTGACTCTATGTAATATAAGACGAACAGACTTAATAACACTTGAGATGACTTTCAAAATATTGTACCCATGGCATTTTCCTGTAAGGGCTTCCTGTGGCTCTAAATTATCAGATTTAGACAATTATGGGTAGAGAAACCTGTGATTGCTCTAAAATTGTTTTGTAGGTAAATTATCACAGCTTCCTCAAAATGGATAGTAAACAGAAAATAAGGTGACTTCACCATGCAGAAACCCTAGGCAGCTTGTAAGCCCACAGAACCCCCAATACTGCCAAACCATCCTAATTTTTGTCTCAGTATGCTAACTTTGCCATTCTTTAAACTATTCACAGCTACTCCTAACACACACACACACACACACACACACACACACACACCCGATGATGACCTTATCTCAACCTTTCACTAAAAAAATAGAGATAGAAAGGGCCGTATTTTCCCCTCACTACATCAGAGGGACTCTTGGTAGTTGTAACCACAATTCTGGCTCTCCTTTCCATTAGAAAACATTAACTACACTTGTGTTCTGAACCCCCTCCCCTCTCTTTTACCAGACCAATCTCTTTCTCATTTCCACCAGTTAACCAATATGCTATAGAGCCTCCAATCTTTTCAAAAGAAGCAAAAAAAAAATCTCCCCTGACTGCATAACCATCTCTAACTGCCATCTGATTTCTCAACTCCTCTTTGAAGCGAAGTTTTTGGACTACATTGGTTTCTCTACATCTTCATCTGTACATTCAGGTGTGCATTCTCTGCATTCCCTCTTCAACCTATTCCAGTCGAACTTCTTGCCACATCATGCCTCAAAGCCTGCTTTTGTCAGGAGTGTCAATGAGCTTCAGGTCACCAGTCCAATGGTCACCACTCTGTCCTTATCTTGCATGACCTCTCACCAGCACTGGGACACAGTTGGTCACTCCTTCTGTCCTGAAACACTTTGCTCTCTTGGCTTCTGTGATCACTTTCTCCTGATTTTCTTCTTACCTCACTGGTGGATCCTCTTCATCTCCTTTACACATTCCTTTTTCTTTGCTCAACTTCTATACTTTGAGTTCTCCAAGGCTCAGTCCTCACTCTCTCTCTCTCTCAGTCTATCCTTGAGAAATCTCACCCAGTCCGTGGTTTAAATACAGCTTATAGGCCACACACCATCAAGATTTTAACCTGTTTATCCAACTGCCTACTCAGCTTACCCACTGCAAATCTAATAAGCATCTCAAATCTAACATGTTCATATCATGGTTTTCCTCTAAACCTGCTCCTATACCAGTCTTCCCCAACTTAATGATACCACTCTCCAGTCAATCTCCTAAGGTGAAAACAGAGTAGGAGGCATCCTTGATTTCTTTATTCTCATTACTCTTCACATCTAATACCACAACAAATCCTGAAAACTCTATGTCTAAAACACATCTGCAGTCAGTCCACATCTCTTCCTCTCCTATGACAATCCTGCCCCAAGCCACCATCATATTATACCCGAATGCAGGAACCTAATTGGCCTCTTCATTTCCACCCTTGTCCCTCACCTTCCATTGTCCATGCCACAGCCAGAATATTTAAGAGATGACCAGATTGCATTGTTCTCTTGCTTAAAACCCTTAAAAAGCTTCCTGTCGTACTTAAAATCCAAGTTTCTAATCCTAGCTTACAAAGTCCTCTGCAGCCTGATCTTTGCTCACCGCTTCAGCTTCCGATTGCACCACTCTCCGCGTGCCTGCTACTTTCCAGCCTCACTGGGTTTTTGTGCTGCTCCTCTCAAACTCAGCATCATCTCCTCCTGAGGCCCTGCAGCAAACATCCTTTCTGCCTGGACTGCTCTACCAGCATCTTCGTATGGCTATTGCTCCGTGGTCACTTGGGCCCTGCTTAGATGTCTCTTTCTCAAAGTGGTCACTCATTACAAAGGAGCCATTCAAAGATTCTCTATTATATCCTTTTTAAATTATGTATGGCATTCATAATTTTTATATATTTAATTACTCGTTTTCTTCCCTCCACAGGGAGCACAAACATTGCTCTTATCCACTGCTATCTCTCCTGTGGCTAGAAGCATGCTGGCATACTGAGGAAACTTAACAAATATTTGCTAAACGAGTAGCCTGAAATCTAGGCCTAACTCTAGCCAACAACCAAGAGAGAAGGTTGTGCAATAAAATACACTAACAAATGGAAACATCTCCCCTTCCTTTTAAAACACAGCTGTATTAAGGTAAGAAACCATATTCTTTGGAAACAATTCTAGGGTAGCAAATAGAAAATATATTTACCTTATTATTACATCATAGGAGTCGATTTTTTCTCCTAATGTCTTATTCTTCAAAACTCCTCCATTACCAACCACCACACACTTTTTACAGGGTATGCTGTTGGACAGATGGACAAGTGAGAGATTGAGCCATCTTTTACCAAACTGGTTCCAAGAATCCACGTGTACTGTCAGAAACCCAGTGCCACATTCCACTTGTTGCGCAAGCAGAAAAAGAACCAACCGCGACTTAGAAGTCTAGAGCTGTATTAAAAAGATACAAGATTCAATGAGTAACATTCTATAGGAAGAGCATATCATTGTACGCAACTAGTATCAGCCCATACACGTTCTCTCATTTGATTCTCATAGCCACCTACTGAGATAAGTCGGCCTGATATTCCCATTATACAAATGAAGAAGGAGGTTCAGAAATCTATTATGTAACATTTTAAAGTCATACTCCAAAGTGGAACTAGCATGTGGATCCAGAACTTGAGACTGAAACACCCCTCCATATAGGACTCTGCATGTGTGTTTTACATTATGTAGGTCTACATTTTTTGCCAGCATCACCCACTCCTCGAATATACTACCTCTGGCTCTCTGCTGCATAAATGTGGATGGACAGTTTGGAATCTGGTGAGAAAAGTGCAGTTTTGTGTACCCTGCCCATGCTCACTTCAATTTCCCCAACATGGACTGGTCCTTGGAGCTTAACTAATACAAACTAAAAGTTCATGCAGTGTTCCTGGCAAAGAGCTTTAAAGTAGAACACAAAGGGGAACTCCATGTTGCTGGTCCATCTGTCTCCCAGCTCTTACCCCCACCCAGGCAGGCCTGGAGAAATGACAAAATAGACTGTGTCCTTGCCCTCTAGGAACAAAACTACAGAAGGGAAAGTTGTTGAGGCTGTCCTTCCAGGGCCCTCATGGCATGGAAAGTCTAAAGAGAACACGGTTTCCCTAAGACCCATGAAATCGGCAGACCAGATGAACTCAAGACCTTAAGGCTTTTAGGAAATAATGAGTAGCAAAACTGTACAAACACTGTGGAACACGGAAATATGGAGAATGCAAGAATTCAGAAACTGTTTAAAAGAGCCAAGCATTAGCTTTATCAGGTAAACAGGAAATGGTGTACACACTCCTATATTCATTAAATTTACTTTTTGAGTAGTACAGTTTATCTGATTATAAGGTTGAACACTGTAACATTTAAAAAATACTTTTAGCATATTTTAATTGGAAGCTCTAGGCTCTCAAATATTAAAGAGTCATGCGTAAATCAGTGTCTACCTAATCAGTCAAGAAAAATAAGCACCAGTGGCACAGGTTGGTAAGGACTTGGGGGCGGGGAGGACTATCCAGCAGATGCTCCTTCAGTGTGTGCCTGAAACCTTGCACTGTGGACACATCTCATGTCACAGTGGGTTCCAGAAGGGTCTGTTTGTTCATTTAAATTCTCTTTGTTTTCATTTTTTTATTTCTTTTTTCTCGTAGTCTACCGATTGAGCAAAAATGAAATCAATGTCAGACATATTATATTTGATTTGGTTCAAATGTGGGCTGATGTCCATTTGCAGCAGAGAAGAACTGAGGGGAGGAAGGTACATAGTGTTGCCAGCAAGGGGACGCCGAACAAAAACAGTTTGCCATTCATTGTAAAAGTGGGCGAGCACCACATAGTCAGGGTGAGTCAGTTAACCAAGACAGGGGACTCAAGGTTCAATAAGCAGGGATAAAACCAAGGTAAGGGGGAAAAAAAAGGTTAAGTACAGAACTTTCAAGAGACAAGGCCAGAACATTTAGAGAACAAGCTGCAGCAGAGACTGGCTGGAGAACAGTGGTCAGTGCGGGTCTGCTGGATCACTTGGGGAACATGATGACCACATCATACCCTCAGGTGGTGTGACTTGCTCCTGGGCATGCTCTTCCCAGTAGATTCGATGGAGAAAAGAAAAAAAAAAAAAAAAAAAGCCCTTCTCTTTTGGGTGAATGCCACAATCAGTGCACACGTAACATTCAGGGAGGGGATGATGGTCTCCACAGCTTTACAAACACGCCTACAATGCCAGGACCGCATTTGTCACACACGGGCACATTCTGAGCATTTCCAATTGATGCAGCCACTTCGGGGTCGGGAATCTTAACACTTCTGAATCATGAGGGTTGCTGAGATGCCTTTTTATCTCAGACTCCAGGATTTCCTGCAAAATCAGGAAAGAGGTGGACTGTTTCAGGGGTTCGTTCAACTCCTGTTTCTCCTGAAGCATCTTGTAAATTTCAGATTCTTCGTTGATGATGAGGCCACTTGGAGGCTGAACATGAGCTATGGGCACGCCATTGGCCTCCTCCCTGCTGGCAGCAGTTTTTGAAATACCAGCAGTATGTTATCTCAAGGTGTTGTTAAAGTTGGAGATGTTTTCAGAAGAAGAGAGGCCAGCTGGGTTGCTGTACTGGTTTGGATGACCCCAGGGAAAGTGCTGGAAGCAGGAGAGGCAGTAAAGAGCATGGTATTTGGATTGCAGGCACTCCCTATGTGCAGGACCTCCTGGGGTTCAGAGTGTAAATTCATCTTGTATGGATGACACTTCCTTTCCTCCGTCACCAGAAGAGACTAGATTTTATATTCAGACCTGGCTAGTGTGACAGTCATGTTGTCTGTGTAGCCTTTGATTTTTTTCTGAGCTTCCAAGTGCATCATATTGCTGATATTTTCCCTATCAATGGCTGCAATTACATCTTTCATACATCAATTAGCTATAGCAGCCTTGCTTCTGAAAGTGACTGGGAAACAGCTGAGGGGCTGCTGGAGGTCCTTGCTGTCCAGCAGGGGAAGCCTCATGGTCCGGGGCTCTGTTTCTAAATAAGAAAGTAACATAACTCTAGATGCTTTTACAAGCAAGTTTGACCTCAATCCCTACTCTAGAAAGCCAACTTTATCAAAGGCTCTCTGCTGTGGGGCCATGTAGTATGGCTGAGATGGGAGCTGCTGAATATTCAAAACCCTTTCCTCTCAGGGTATTATTGCCATTATCCTCCCCAAATCATCCCATGAATGCGCCATAGCAGGGGGCAATTCTCACGCTCTCAGCTTGCTTGCCCTTTCCGTAACCTCAGGGTCAGTTCAATTCAGATCAGAGGCTACACCTCCACAAGCTGGCTCCATCTCCACTAGGAATGCTAAGCAAGGCTGGGCACTGGGGAAGGCATGGCTAAGAACAGACAGGATCGAAATAACAACTGTTCCCATGAGATAACCTGCGTAGGAGTAGAGGGTGAATATCTATAGATGGTATCTAGTCTAATCCTCTCCCTCCGATGAAGGCTGTAGGCCAATCTTCTGTCAAGACAAGGGGCTGCCTTGCCCTGAGCCCAGGTGCCTCCCTGCATCCATGCTGGCCTGGAGTTCCCAGTCTGACACTAGGCTACCTGACTCCAAATACACAGAACATGCAGGGGCAAAGGTCAACAAGCCACCAGCATACCACCAGGGCTCCTATCCTTACAAAAGACTCCTGATCCACAAACCAAATCTCTAAAGTTGACCTCGGAAAGGTTACTCAGCTCAGTCTATTTTTTTATATATATATACTTTAAGTTCGGGGATACATGTGCAGAACGTGCAGGTTTGTTACATAAGTATACACATGCCATGGTGGTTTGCTGCACCCATCAACACGTCATCTACATTAGGTATTTCTCCTAATGCTATCCCTCCCCTAGTCCCCAACCCCACGACAGGCCCCACTGTGTGCTATTTCCCGCCCTGTGTACATGTGTTCTCATTGTTCACCTCCCACTTATGAGTGAGAACAGGCAGTGTTTGGTTTTCTGTTCTTGTGTTAGTTGGCTGAGAATGATGGTTTCCAGCTTCATCCATGTCCCTGCAAAGGACATGAACTCATTCTTTTTTATGGCTGCATAACATTCCATGTTGTCTATGTGCCGCATTTTCTTTATTCAGTCTGTCATTGATGGGCATTTGGGTTGGTTCCAAGTCTTTGCTATTGTGAATAGTGCTGTAATAAACATATGTGTGCATGTGTCTTTATAGTATAATGATTTATAATCTTTTGGGTACATACCCAGTAATGGGATTGTCACGGCTCAGTCTTAGACGCGGTCAGTTCTATAACATTGCTCAACAATGAACTGATAGCTTAGATCTTAGTGCTCACAGAAGTTCCACTCTATCACACTGAGATACAGATGGTCATCAAGCCCTAGATAATGCATGGCCCAAAGAGCATCACGGTAAGAGTAGCCACCATCTGTCATATACATGTGCCATGTCACTGGTCATCACTCAGACTCAAGGTCCTGGACCGCCTCCCACATACCCTACAAGCCAAGAAAAAAGAGGGGTCTAGGGGTTTCGGGCAGATCTCTTCTGCAGGGCAATTCCTCACACTCAGCCTCTCCTACTTATGGTCCCAGCAGTTCAAGGACTTTTAAAAAACAGGAAGAAATAACATAGACATTGCCTCATTCAGAACGCCCATTCCAAAGATTCTTTACAGCTCTACTTCACCATATTTTTAGGAGTTTCACTTTCTATTTTTTTTTTTTTTTTCCTCTCAGCTTATAGGGGACAAGCAGAAAGAGAGAAGGGCCTTTACTACAGGAAATCATACCAATGCTTTTGAAAGGAAACCTTATCAATGAAAGTCCACCTTTCCTCCTGGTCAAGGATACTGCAAAGATTTACGCATTTTTCTGAGAATCATGTAGAAACTCTTTTGAGGGCATCTCTAGGACTAGTCTTTGGCAATAACACCTTATCTACAGCTAGTATTCATAGCACCACCACGGCTCTGGGAAGTATGGAATGGTACAGATCAGCTGTCTGAATCACACTCCTCATTACTCACTGCTTCCCTCGCTCCCTAGCAAGTACCCCACACTCTGAAAGGACTGATTCATTCTCTCCTTGACTTCATCCATTTGGCTTGTGATCCTGGCTTCCCCTGCCTTTTTATATGTGGAACAATGACTTTCAGTGTCCTTTGGGTGACTGTAAAACTTCACATATTTAATTAACATAACTTTCATGTAGAAATAGCTGCAGTAAATTGGGAGTCCCTAGAGGAAAGAATAGTATCATTTATATCTCTGTATGGTCCCATCTAAAACACTTCCTGATCCACAGGCTGTGCATGTTACAATTCAGTTTGGTTGTTACATTAAGTATACAGAGGTTATTTCCCTACTTTGTATCTGGAGAAGCAATTACCTTTAACTCCTCCAACCACCCTGGAAACAAGTAGGGAAATGCATATGCTCTAAACTGCTTACCCAGAAAACAAAATAATTCCAGGGTTCCTGAACCTGTTAATGGAAAATCTGGAAAGCTGCTAAAGCAGTGGTAGTAAGAGATTACACTTCCCCCAGGTGAAAGGCGTGTTTCTCATAAAGTCAGGCAAAAGCCGGAAGAGTCATTACCTTATGCAGAGGGGAACATCAAACACAATCAATATAGAGCAAGCAAACGTGAGTTGCCCATTTCAAATGATCTATGATGTGTTTGCTTTTACAAATGCTTTTTGACATGCATTTTTCGTTCAATACCATCATGTACATTAAAACACATGACTCTACCTTCAGTGTAACAGTCTATGGCAAATCATGCTGGTCACATTCCCAACACCCATTACCCCATGTGCCTTGCTAGCAGATCCCTGCTTTCCTAAGCCTACAATAGTGAGCTCATTGCCTCTGCCAATGTTTCGTCTAGACATAGCCATGTGACCCATCCCTGGGCAATAAGATATTAGGGAAGTCTATTAGGTGCTTTTGGAAGAGATTCTGCTGCTGCCAAAAGAATCATGTGAACAGGATACTGCGTTACTCACTTCTTCCTTTCTGCTTAGACATTGACATGTGATAACAAAAAGAGCAGCTACACATCAGAGAAAAAGACAGCCACAGAAAAACTACCCTGGAGCCTTGACATTACTGAGCTACTAATTCAATCCCCCAACCAGGGCCGCCCCAAACATATGTGCAAGTTGTACACAGTCCAATGTCAGCACCATTCAGATAACTATATGAATGAATCGGTCCTCCCTGGAGTTGTGCAATCCACAGTCTGTACAGCCATAAGCAGCCCCACACTGCAAGCTGGAACCACAAATATGCAGACCTGAAACCACATGTCTATGCAATACAGGAGATAATAAATGTCCACTTAGTTTAAATCACTCCTAGTGAAGACTATTACTTGCAGCCAGAAGATCCTCAAACTACACAAGGAACTGTAGTTGGAGACCTGGTTGCTAGTTCTGGCTCCTCTGCTTAGCACCTCTTAGGACCTTGGTCTAGTCACCTGACCTCTCTGATCTCAGTCTGCCGTTTTGTGAAGTCAGGAAATCACTTAGGTCTTATATGTTACTCTCCGATGGAAGTGACCACTTTCTTCGACAAAAGTACTGAGACTTCTGTATCTTTACCCAACATCTGACCACAGCAGATGCTAGAAAGCAGGCAGGGGCTGCTTCTGCATATTCACCACATATGATTCACTCTGTTGATGTAGAATCACAACTTCCCCTCATCCTCAAGCTCTCCCGGCTAAAACTCCTGCAATGTAAAGAAACTCTGGGCCGGGCGCGGTGGCTCAAGCCTGTAATCCCAGCACTTTGGGAGGCCGAGACGGGCGGATCACGAGGTCAGGAGATCGAGACCATCCTGGCTGACACGGTGAAACCCTGTCTCTACTAAAAAATACAAAAAACTAGCCGGGCGAGGTGGCAAGCGCCTGTAGTCCCAGCTACTCGGGAGGCTGAGGCAGGAGAATGGCGTGAACCCGGGAGGCGGAGCTTGCAGTGAGCTGAGATCCGGCCACTGCACTCCAGCCTGGGTGGCAGAGCGAGACTCCGTCTCAAAAAAAAAAAAATAAAAATAAAAAAATAAAAAATAAAAAAAAGAAACTCTGCAAAACAGCAGAATGTCTAAAGCAGGGATGCAGATATTGATATTCCTTATAGAGTGAGGACTCTCTTTAATAAATACGCCACTCATGTCTAATTGTTTTTTCAGTTTTCTAAGGGCATGCTCCCGGCCTGGCTGGTGGCCAGTCTACCCCCGCTTTGCTGATGCTGACAGAATGGCTGCTGCTTGAGAGAGTAACCAGGCAGCTTTTACAAGTCCTTGTCCATGTAGCAGGCAACTGACTTGACACAGGTGCTGTTGTTAGGTAAGATATTTATGTGTAGTTACTATATAACCACCTGTGCTGCAGGACTAAAGCATTCTTCACACAACTTGGCAGGCTTTCAGAAGGCAATGGTGGTAGTTGGGGACGGGGAGCTTGTCTGTGCATTTTAAGTGGGAGCTGAGATGTGATAATTTAGGGTTGCTGCTGTTTCTAGCTGTGTGAGGATGCACTTCCCCTGGGGAGAAAGCAATAATCCTTAGGGCTGGGGGCAGACTGGTGCTAAGGAGCTACATGGACAGCCAGGAAGGATTAGGGTCTTGGAATATGGGCACATTTTTAGTATTCCTTTTCTGTGTTGCAATTCTCTTTAAAAATCCTCAGTCTTCAGTGAAGTTTGTTAAACTTAGTCGCCTTATGTTGGCTGTGCTTTGGAGAATAAAGAGAAGAGCCTGTGTCCATGAGAAATCAGTAGCAGCAGCAGATAAAAAAGATGCACTGAGATTGGTTGTTAGACAGCAGGGTCATATATTTGACTTCAGAATCCTGAAAGTGACCAGGCATGAAAACAGATGGGGACCAGGGAAATGATGCAGAATATTGGTAAAGACAGCTATTTGTTCCCCAATAATCTTGTTTCCTTCATCTGTTAAAATCACGTTTGTTTTTAAAGGTGAGCACACACTCACCTGGAATACAAACTACATTTTCCGGTCCACATCCCAGCTAGGGGTGGCCTTGTGATGGAGTCCTATCCAGTGGGATGCAAACGGTGGTTGCTAGTCAATGTGTAACAATCAGTTCTGGGGGAGGGGGAGGAGTATGAATGGGTAAAGCCCTGATTTGTAATGTTTGCCAATTTCCATGGTACGAATACTCTCACCTTGGGTATTTCAAGCTTTCACCTTGATGGCACTAAACATGGAGCTGAATAGGAAGAGATACAGCTCTCACAAGTTGGCACCAACTGGTTCCAGCACATCGTTGGACGTAAGGAAGTGTTATATATGATTTCTGGGAGATGTCCTTAAAGAAGAAGGCATGTCTCAAAGGGTTGGGGTATGCCCTTCGCCCTTTCCTCCTGCTGGCTGGCAGGAAGGTCGGCGTGATTGGTGGAACTCCAGCCATCATACCGGACCAGAAGGAACAAGTCACGTATTTAGGAATGGTGGCGTCAAGGCAGAGAAGCAGCCTTGGTCCCTGATGCTCACAGAACCAGCCCCGGAAAGTTTACCTGCAGAGTTCATTTACACGAAAACTGAACAAAAGGAACACTTCCTTCTTACAATCACAACTGATATTTTGAGTGTTCCCTTTCACAGTGGAATCTATCCCAACTGAGGGCATCATACATGCTGGACAAGATATCTGACAAAACTACAACTTGTATCTGGTAGAATCTTAAAGGATTCAGATTTGAAACAACAACATCAAAAACAACATCTGAGCCTTTCTAGAAGGGACAGAGAGGATGGAAGGAGAATAAAAAGTAAGAAAAAAAAAAAAGTGCTTATTAGCTGTTACAACTCAAAATATATCAAGCACCTCCCAGAGCACAGGTAGGAAAAACATAAGCACAGAGCAAGGTCAGCAATTATATAAATATCAGTAAAGAAAGCAGAAAAAGGAGGAAAGTAACTTGAAAGTAATCCGTCTCTACCTCAGCTCCTCCTCTCTGACCTACAGACCCATGATGAAGGACAAGCCAGCCTAAATATCAAGACCTTCCTCCTTGGACGTGTGGACCCAGCTCACAAATCCACAAGCCAGGGGCTCAGGGAGGACTCTCCTGCCAAGGGCAGTCTAAATTCTCTGCCTGAGAAAGAAAGACTGTTCTCAGACATCTTTCTTCTAGAGCGTTATTCCCAGGCTGAGAAGAGAAATGAGGAACACAAGGTCACTTGGGAACGAAGTTGACTCAGAGGCAGCATTCAGGCAATTCAGTCCATTCTGCTTTTCTGGAGTTTAAATGTATGGCTCAGGCACAGCCTGGCTTGTTTTCTTCTATGTGTTGTACACTGGACACATGATAAAGGCAGAATGACTCACTTAAAATATAGGCAAAATGTAACAGGTGAACCCCTCTGAAAAGCGCTATGCAAATAGAAGATAATAGTGTCATAAATATATTCCTATCTATTTTCGAAATACTCTAAGGTTTGCCCAGGTCAAACACGCAACTCAGCAATGCTAACTGAACACCTGTGATGTTACAAAACATGTGTCACTGTGCTCCCTCTGTGGGGATCCTACGGGGATATTTGTCATTCACTCTTTATCTAGAGTCTTTGACTATACATTTACTTCCCTTCAGACTCTTGGCAAGTTCAGACTATTAGGACTTCTGCAGTCAGCATGATTTTCAATCCCTCCTCACCAACTACACCCTACTTCTCTCCCAACAAAGGTAATGCTAAGAAATGAACTTAGCATGATGGTGGGGAGTGGGGAGATTCTGGTTACAGGAGACAAGCGGCAGGAAACAGCAAGACCAAGTCAGCAAGAAGAGAAAAATTAGCCTGATGGGGGCATACACAAACAGATGAACACCTGTGGGACAAGGGGCTGTGAAAGCAGCTAAACAAAGCACAGTCCAGTTCTTAGATAAAAACTAGGCAAGAACAAAACTTCTAGTCATATATCCTCCAGAATCCTGACAGTAGCTTGCATTTAGGGTCTAGCATCTTTACAAATATTTGCAGATAATTGCTGCAAACATTTAAGGACTCACAATTATCGCTCTGTTTTTTTTTTGTTTTTTTTTTTTTTTGGGGGGGGGTCCGCCCTTTCGCCCAAGCTGGAGTGCAGTGGCGTGATCCTGGCTCACTGCAACCTCCACCTCCCTGGTTCAAGCGATTCTCCTGCCTCAGCCTCCCAGGTGGCTGAGACTACAGGCATGCGCCACCATGCCCAGCTAATTTTTGTATTTTTAGTAGAAACTGGGTTTCACTGTGTTGGCCAGGCTGGTCTTGAACTCCTGACCTCATGATCTGCCCGCCTCAGCCTCCTAAAGTGCTGGGGAATTTCAGGCATCAGCCACAACATCAGGCCACCTTTATTACTCTTAACTTAGACATCCAGGCACTGGAGTTAGAACTATCTAGGTTTACATCCTGGGCCTGGCATTTACCAAGTGTAACAAACTGTGTGCCTAGCCTCAGTTTCTCCAGAAACTTACAGAATTAGAGAGAATCAACATAAAGCACATATGTGAAAGGTCTGCAAAAAACAATATTCTACAAATCAGAGCTATACAAATTTGGGGGTTGAAAAAATTTATGGTTGCTGTTGATATGCAATCAAAATTAAAATTGATTAGGTTGATGGCATAGTTTGAAATTATAAAAAACTGAAATGAACCAAAACATATTACACAAATACACACTTCAAACATCTTGGTCTTCAAATGAGATAATGAGATAAACCTGGACAAAATCTAATGCTGCTCTTACAGTAAACTCTATCTCCACTTTCAGACCTCCATCCACTACCCCCACTCTCTGCACCCCACTCTCTGCCTGTTCTCTTGGGCAAGAGAGTAATTTCTGTCATTTTCCTTTTTAATGGAGGCCTGACATCTGTAGATTACCCATATTATCACACTGGCACCCTGGCCAAATTCTAAAGTGTGGCTTGAAACTTTGTGAAATAAACCTACCTCTGTGAAATAAGCCCAACAGTGAAGAAGCCTATTTTTGGCAATTCAATTTATTTGGGGTTAATTTAATGACAAAATTGTCTAAAAGCCTTTTGTAGTCAGAAAACATCAAAGCAAGTATATTTGTCCTTCAAATACAATTCTGAATAAAAAAGCAGAGAGCTGCTTCCAAAATCTAATAATCTCCTTAACAAGTGAAACAGAAAGAATCTCATCAGTAGTTTGGAGGATACATGGCAAAGTATGGGAAACAGCCTGTAAAGGGAGGCCATGAGCTGATTAGCAGGGGGTGAACTAATTCTTAAGTAGGAACAACTTAGAAAAAAATGAATGTAGGTTGAAAATGTCCTGATTTAGGACCAGTGTTGATCATCATCAAGACTCTGCAAACTTTTGAGCCAACCAGTTACGCAGCATCTAAATTAATTTTGTAGTTTTTAAAGTGTCAAGTTACTACTAGAAATTTTGGTTATACACAAAAGCTATGAAATTTTCCTGAGTAAATACACCTTACATTTCTGGGGTATATATTTTGAACCAGTTTAGCTGAAGCTAAAAGCCAGACTAGAAGCAAGGAAATAAACTCACTTGTCAAACTCATCAAAGAGATCACAACTCTGCAGTTTTGAAAGAGCAAGTCGAAAATATTCCGCTAGAAAACAAATGGAGTGTTATGAATAAAAGGGTAATTGTGTCTTTTTAGTACTTAGTAAACCACCTTACTCCCTCCCCCACAAACCCATTTCCAACCAGCATAGCCTCATTGATTTATTCTGTGAAAAATTAATGATACAACTGCAATTAGCCAGCACTACTCCCATTCAAAATGGTAAATGTTCTAAAGACACTTTCCAAAACCTCCCCAAAACACAACACATTTAATCTGAAAAACAATCATGTAATTTTAAAATAGCACATGATTCTGAAATTGAGGTTAGAATAGAAATAGTAAGTTTAACCCAATTAAATTCTCAAATTCTCTGCAAAATAGTTTTAAAATACAAAATAAAACAAAAAATACAACCCCCACCTTCACAGGATCAGCTGAATAAGCAAGATCTGACTCACAATGTTGTAGGCTTGTCACCTTGGGCTTTTGTGATCCCTCAAAAATCTAGAACTTAATGCTATATAGGGCCAATCACTTATCAACAAACAGAAGGGGAAGTGTTTTATCATTAGAAGATGGAATCATTATCTCTTAATAAAAATAAAATATCCACTGGTTAAATTAAAAGACTGCTTAAGGAGATAAGAAATGCCGATGAAATAAAACTCACAGGTAAAAAGAAGCCATGGGAAGCTAGGAAGGACGCTAACCCTCAGGTTTTCCTGCTAATTCTAAATCAGAATAAAGTTAAGGCACCAGAACTCACATGGATACATGCTGGCAGAGCAAATGTAAAAAGTAGTTTCTCAACAACAACAACAACAAATCCACCCCTGTTATCCTTTGGTTCTCTACTGCCTCAAAAGCAGTGGAAATTTATATTTTAAAATATAATTCATTTCATTTCATCCCAAAATCATATCCCTTGGAAATCATTAGGAAGCAGAAAGAATAAAATTATATTAACATGCCATTCTCATCAAACACCAGTCAAACTTAACAGAACCAGGTAAGAATAATACTACTGACCTGATGTTCTCATCCCATAGGGCAAATCAAACTTATCGCTACCATACAAGGAAGCAATCTTTCTAAAATCAGCTGCACACAGAAAAGGGTGAAACTGATGAAACCTGGAAGGAAAAGATAAAGAATGATTTTGCCAAATACCTACTATATTTGCAAGCTTTTAAAATCAAAACAAAAAATAACTATAGCATATAATTCATATCGTTATACTGGCTATATGAAAAATGTATAATTTTAATTTTTAAAAATAACGTTAAACTGTGCTGAAATATTGCATAGAATGGGGTATTCAATGGAACTACACAACTGAAATGAAAACACTTTGCAGCTACTAAGATGAAAATTATGTTACAACTCAGGAAGTAAAAATAAAACTTAAAAACAAACCAACAGCAAGTGATAAAATAATAGCCACACATAGGAAAAAACAAAGTAATATTATAAAAGTACTGATGCTAAGCTATTTCTAAATTTAAAAGTACCGTATATGTGAAGTTGTGTCAGCTGTGACAAGTCTGGGGTCACTAACCCATAAATAACAAAACTGAAATCCACACCCAAGCCTAATTATAAGGAAAGATGTTCTCTTTATAACACTGAAGATAAAAGCTCCAGGTTTCCCAGAAGAGCTTCTCCAAATTGCTGCTGGCCTTTGTTTCTGAGAAAGTGGCCTCAAGTACGCTCTAGGGGACTGTCCTCAAAGAATACTGTCCACATGACAAACACAAATCTACTTGTCACTTACACTGTAGGCTTATATACCTGCTGGATAATCTTGCATAAATACCTTAAACTTTTTGGGTTTTCTCAGAAAGGAAAAGATTATCTTTTTTGACTAAAGTTAGGGAGTACCTTAATTCTAGAGTAGCATTTTAACCTGTGGTCTGCAACCCATATGTGGCTCATCAAATCAATTTTGTGAGTCATGATCAGCATCTTTTTAAAAAGTGAATGGGACAGAACATAGTATATCTGGAGTAGTAAAGGTAAAAATTCTTTTTTTTCTTATTATAAATATGTGTTTGCACTATGTCCCAAGTAAAATGTATTTCTTCCTGTGAGTCATGTTCAAAAAAGTTTTAAAACACTATTCCAGTTTTGTAGTGGTCCTCACTGGACGCACACCCCTAGAAAGACTACAAGCAGCCACAGCACACTTGGAATCATATACAAAAAAGTCTTATGTATTTGCAGTTTCCCGGAGAGTTGATTGATTGTAAAGGGATCTGTAGCCCCAAAGAGTTAAAAATCAGTAATAAAAGACAATAGGGAAAAAAAGAATTCTTAATGCTTCATAGAAAAAATGCTGAACAGATTGTGCCTGTTTTACCCAATTAAACATGCCTAGAACAGACTTTTATTTCTTGTTATCTAGAGCATTTTGACCAGCAATCTGTCAAAGTCAAGGTGACAGAGGAAAAAAACATTTGTGAATAGAAAAGTAAATTCTTTACAAAGCCCAAGAGCCACAATCAACAATCATTATTTGCACTCTATGTAGTTCATTAAAAGTTAATAAAAGGGAAAATTTCTACTCAAAAAGTTTAACCTAGAGGCAAGGAAGGAGAAGCCACAAAATAATAAGGGTGGAAAATAACATGGGAGCAACCAGGGGGAAAAATGAAACCCTAAAGAACAATTCGCTTTTTTATAGTCAAACACAAACAGACCTCTCTAGCCTCACCTGTGTGAAAAGAATACTGGTTTGATTGAGTTCCTCAATGCCTTTTCTTAAAATATATGCAGAGTTCTGACTAAAAGCACAAAAAGAGACAGGATATTCAAGCTCTTCCTTAAATATGGGCTGTCCACTTTATACTGCTAAGATTTGCATTAAAAAAAAATAAACAAGTGTGGAAAATGATTACAAGCACATTTGGAATATTTTGTATGCCACAGGTTTTTTTGGTATATTTTTACCTCAGCAGAGAGGCAAAAGCTGGCTTTGATAAACAAGGCTGGATCTTATTTCTCCGTTTCATTTCCACAGGTGCCACCCTATGAGACAAAAATAACATCAGTCAGAAACCAGAACCGGGCACCCTGCCCAAAGGGAAGCAAATAACCTGGGAACTCATTCATGCCACCACTGAGAGGTTCTCTGGCAGCAAACAAAAATACTCCCTGCACCCCTTGAGGTGTGCCAGTACCTTCGCCAAGCCCTACAAACACCTGAGATTCATGGAGGTAAGGCAAGGGAGGGTGGAAAGGCTGAGGTGATTAGCAACCCATAAGTGATTCCAAGAGCAATGATTCAAAGGACCTTCAGAGAAGGGCCAGGATTACTGCATTGTAGAAGCCACAACCAGGCTCACTTTTTAGAAGTCCCTGAAAGCTGGAGAAACCCAGACTCACCCCAACGGCACGTGGCTATTTACTCCTCCTGCCACATCTGCTGGCGCACACCGGCAGCAAACACCACAGGAACACCTGACCTGAGCAGGTTCCACAGACCCTTCCCTTGGGATCCGGGGGACTCTACAAATCACACTATCGAGAGTCATTTCTAACTGTCCTCTATTCTTGGCATAGGTTAGCCTTTGTGTGCTCCTGAATGGAGTACTTGTCTCCACAGTTTAAAAGGGTATTGTGAAACATGACAGAGCACAACAAGGAAAACAAATGAAAGGGGTGGTGGATGGCAGGATCCAGACTTAGCTGGGAAACAGGAAAACAGCTTAATACAAAAACTTATTAATGATCATCAATTATGTGAGGAATTAGTATTTAAAATCTAATCAATTTTCTTCTATAATCAGCAGAATTCAAAATGAGGGAAATACCCTAAACCCTTCATGGACAGACACAATTTTCCATTTTTGTGGGTACCAATATTCAAGCTCTTCCTTAAATATGGGCTGTCCACTTTATACTGCTAAGATTTGCATTAAAAAAAATAAACAAGTGTGGAAAATGATTACAAGCACATTTGGAATATTTTGTATGCCACAGGTTTTTTTGGTATATTTTTACCTCAGCAGAGAGGCAAAAGCTGGCTTTGATAAACAAGGCTGGATCTTATTTCTCCGTTTCATTTCCACAGGTGCCACCCTATGAGACAAAAATAACATCAGTCAGAAACCAGAACCGGGCACCCTGCCCAAAGGGAAGCAAATAACCTGGGAACTCATTCATGCCACCACTGAGAGGTTCTCTGGCAGCAAACAAAAATACTCCCTGCACCCCTTGAGGTGTGCCAGTACCTTCGCCAAGCCCTACAAACACCTGAGATTCATGGAGGTAAGGCAAGGGAGGGTGGAAAGGCTGAGGTGATTAGCAACCCATAAGTGATTCCAAGAGCAATGATTCAAAGGACCTTCAGAGAAGGGCCAGGATTACTGCATTGTAGAAGCCACAACCAGGCTCACTTTTTAGAAGTCCCTGAAAGCTGGAGAAACCCAGACTCACCCCAACGGCACGTGGCTATTTACTCCTCCTGCCACATCTGCTGGCGCACACCGGCAGCAAACACCACAGGAACACCTGACCTGAGCAGGTTCCACAGACCCTTCCCTTGGGATCCGGGGGACTCTACAAATCACACTATCGAGAGTCATTTCTAACTGTCCTCTATTCTTGGCATAGGTTAGCCTTTGTGTGCTCCTGAATGGAGTACTTGTCTCCACAGTTTAAAAGGGTATTGTGAAACATGACAGAGCACAACAAGGAAAACAAATGAAAGGGGTGGTGGATGGCAGGATCCAGACTTAGCCGGGAAACAGGAAAACAGCTTAATACAAAAACTTATTAATGATCATCAATTATGTGAGGAATTAGTATTTAAAATCTAATCAATTTTCTTCTATAATCAGCAGAATTCAAAATGAGGGAAATACCCTAAACCCTTCATGGACAGACACAATTTTCCATTTTTGTGGGTACCAAAATCCCCATAGTTAGAACTGCTCGGTTTCTGAACTAGGAGGCTAGTAAACTCCTTATGCAGGAAAACATCTTTTGTGAATACCACAATGGCAAGGGCTCCTTGATTTAAACATAAGGAAGATACATAAATGTGGTAGACCAGCATACTAGACCAAGAAATCTCAATTATATTTGGAGGATAACATGAAGATATTGATTTCTAAAGTCATTAAAACATAGAAAACAATTTTAGGATATCGTGAAGACAACCTTTGGGTGACTTTATTTTTTTTTTTTTTGGAGAAAGAATCTCACTCTGTCGCCCAGGCTGGAGTGCAGTGGCACGGTCTTGGCTCACTGCAACCTCCGCCTCCTGAGTTCAAGCAATTCTCTGCCTCAGCCTTCCAAGTAGCTTGAGATTACAGGCATCCGCCACCACGCCCAGCTAATTTTTTGTATTTTTAGTAGAGACGGGGTTTCACCATCTTGGCCAGGCTGGTCTTGAACTCCTGACCCACCTCGGCCTCCCAAAGTGCTGGGATTACAGGTGTGAGCCACCGCGCCCGGCCTTGGGTGACTTTTTAAAAGAAAAACACAATTGTCTGTCTTAAATCATTTTTAAGGAAGCAAGTTCATTGACAAACAACTGAGCTAATATCCCAAGGTACTTCCTGTGACTATAGTAATGTGTTAGCTGAGGAGTGACATGGTCACTTCAACCCTGATGACAAAAGACTGCTGATTGAGATCCTTTTCATCACCTTCTTTATCATTTTCCCCGTGACCGACAATAGGATTTGTAGGAAAGTAGCAATCTAGTAAGCTTTTTGCTTTCTCCTCTATTTTTGTCTTCCACTACTAAGGGTAGGACAGAGAATGTGGCAAAGATGTAGGGATAGATCTCCTTGATGTAGTCCTCATTTAGTACATAATCAGACTTCACAATTCTCTAGCCTGATATTTGGGTCCAAAGCCTAAAACTTTAGGGCCAAAACTACCCACCTGGCATTGGGATTTTTCTAGTGGCCATTTGCCTAACATCCTTCCGTGAAAAGCATTACAATTATTTTTCAATCAACCAGTAATGAAATCAAATATAAGCATTATTGGAAAAAAAATATAGAAACTTTTTTTCATCAAGTAAGCACAAGTTAGAAACATGCTCTAAGATCTACTATGACACACTGGCAAAAAGTACTGATTCTTTGTCTAAGACAGGAAGTTATGTGATTTATTTTAGCATAATTATATACTGCCACCCATTTGGGATTTAAAGGTCATCAAAACATTTTTCCTAGCCAAAGGACTGACAATGAGAAGGTTAAAATCCCTATTACAGAGGCTTTCTCTTCAGTAGAACTATCTGTGCCTCTTCAAAATTTTATATGTGGTATTTCAAGTCAAAGCTATTTCAAAAGATACATATATCATCATTCACCAAATATTTTTAAACAAAGGAAACCATATGTAATATCTGTAGTTTATCAATAATCTATTATGCAAGCATTTTAGGTTCTAAAAGTTAAGTACCACTGAGCCCAGTGATTACTCCATTAACTCAAGGAGATGATCTATGGCATAAATAAAGAATGTTATAACCCAAAGATGGTTAACACCATGCCTTCAGTGGGAAGTCACTAGAAAGTAGGTGTTGCTTGTCAACTTTTTTTCTTTTTTTTATTATTATTATACTTTAAGTTCTAGGGTACATGTGCATAACGTGCAGGTTTGTTACATATGTATACTTGTGCCATGTTGCTGTGCTGCACCCATCAACTCGTCAGCACCCATCAACTCGTCATTTACATCAGGTATAACTCCCAATGCAATCCCTCCCCCCTCCCCCCTCCCCATGATAGGCCCCAGTGTATGATGTTCCCCTTCCCGAGTCCAAGTGATCTCATTGTTCAGTTCCCACCTATGAGTGAGAACATGCGGTGTTTGGTTTTCTGCTCTTGCGATAGTTTGCTGAGAATGATGGTTTCTAGCTGCATCCATGTCCCTGCTTGTCAACTTTTAAATTGTTCTAGATACAATCTATAGGACACTGGAATGGTAAAACCCCAATTTACAATGAAAAGCAAGAAAATATTCAAAATGTTACAATAGTACAAGTTTTTTTTTAATAGGACCCTCTACTATAATTTGTGGATTTGTGTGAAAGACTAGGTTGAGAGTTACTTTTAAATAACAAAATGAAACTTACCAATAGACATTCGTTCCCCATAATATACAATGCAGTACATAATAGAGGAAGACAGCACTCAGGAATATGGCCACGAGATACCCTCTCATGGCTGGCTCACCTGAAACACAAGGAATGAAGTCCAAAGTGAAGGTCAGGTTGTTATACAAATGGATTTTCACAATGGCTCAAATATAAGCATTATTGGAAAAAAAATATAGAAAAGGAACTATAGAAAAATATGATGTGGGCCTGTAATTTTGGAAATACTCAATGTGCAGAAAGATAATGTTTTTTCTGTCTCTCCTCTTATCAATAAGCACAACATAATGTATGTTTAGGCCAATAAACAGTTCCATGGTCTCAAAGCTAGGGGCCTCCCTACTACTTTCTCATGTTAGGTAAGAAAGAATTCTTCCAGAATAAAATTTTACACATCTGTTCCATTTCCAAAACTTTTTTCAGAAACATTAAAACCTATCTCTGAGTAGAAAGCGAATAGATGCCTTAAGCTGTGAATAAACATTTCATTTCTTTAGTGCTTGAAATGATGTTAAAATGTTATACATTATAATTTTTACAAGTCATTTTTCTAATTTTTAAAAACTGAGGAAAAAAGCTACTGAAAAAACATTTCCCTCATCCTCAATTTGTATATACTTTTAGATCCACCTATTGATTTTTTCAACATCATAGTTCAGGTATATTCAGCTACTTGCTTGTTTTGTATTAAATTGACAATATTGTTCATTACACATTTCCAGACAGACAAAAACCTTGACACAATCCTCTCTAAAATGTAAATGCAAAAAAAAGCCTTTCTAGAATATATTTTAAAAACCTGTAAAACATGTTTGTTTAGTTTTCTCTTTTGCTTCAAAGGAAAAAAGGAGAAGTTTCCACTGTCTTATGTAATTAAATGTAAAAGACAAATTTAATACATGGTTCCATAACAGACCTATTTCAATGCATGTGACTTTAAACAGGTATACTGCTTCTCTGTCTCCCTATCAAGTTTCTAGTTCATCTGAACAATTGCATGTGCCACTCCTTTCACTCCTATCCATGCCTATTAACCTAATCATGGCAATGCAGTATAGAACCTGGGAGTCTGGTTGAATAAATTTCCAAATAATGTGGCATTGCCTTCTTTTCAGTGGTAAATATGCTCAAATGGAAATCTTAAACCACTCCCTTGCCTTCATAAGTAGAATATAATACTAAACATAATTTAAACTTTCCTTGATAATATGGGGTCAGCTCAACAAGTATAATTGTTCTGGGCTTTCTTACAGTAGAAACCCTCTGCAGCTAATGGGTGTGTGGGGCTATTTGCTAAGCAGTCCTAAACTGGCATGATTATCTGGTTGAGTTGTTTTCCACTCCTCCCTTGCTGTCAGCTGTTGTTTCTGGCTGCTATTAATGCAGTCACCACTCCCACATGCCACTATTCTAAATTAGTTAGAAATGAAAACTATGTCAGGAGAAAGCAAATAAATAAGCAAGTTAATGAGCAAACTTTAGTTTACACATACTTCTAATTAGGTATACATAATCCCTGTGAAGAGTCAACACTGGTTGGAAACCAGAAGACAAGATTCACAGCTAACTCTACATATGGTGTGGGGGAGCCTAAGGTCAATCAGTCTACCTCTTCTCAGCTGAGGGTCCTCACATGTTTACAAGTGAGAACACACCATCTACCTCTTTGGGTTATTAGACTGTCCTGGAAGGCAGTTTACCATGGGTCAAAATAGTGATGAACATCTTCTTAAATGCTCACATTAAACATTTAAGGCTCCACTAAGAATAACATCATTTGGCCAGGCGCAGTGGCTCATGCCTGTAATCCCAGCACTTTGGGAGGCCGAGGTGGGTGGATCACGAGGTCAGGAGCTCAGTACCAACCTGGCCAAGACAGTGAAACCCTATCTCTACTAAAAATACAAAAAAAAATTAGCCGGGCGTGGTGGTGGGTGCCTGCAATCCCAGCTATTCAGGAGGCTGAGGCTGAGAATTGCTTGAACCCAAGAGGCAGAGGTTGCAGTGGGCAACTCCAGCCTGGGCGACGGAGTGAGATTCTGTCTCAAAAAAAAAAAAAAAAAAGAGTAACATTTATGCAAAGATCCAACGAGGATAAAACTTACCAGTATCAGCAATTTTTTTAAATGTATTTACATCTAAGACAGTATATGAAGGTGTAGGGAAAGAAGTCAGTATTTACGAGTCAAAATTCCTATGTATTCTCCAAAACATACTCTTTGGGCAATTTATGTATTATTCTACAGAACATGGAGGTATGGGTAAGCGAGACTTGTGTTACTGTTTTGTTGTTTTTCATTCACTATTATGTGGTCTAACTAAAAACAAAGAAGTGTGACAGAATGCTCTTCTTTCAAACAATAAAATGAACCCACTCTTGAACAGCTACTGCATACACGACCTGAAAAACATTTAGGAAGTTTAGGCACTCTCATATTTCATGTACAATTCACAGCTTCGGTATTCAAGTTGCAAAGCTTTGAGACGGGCCAGCCAGGATATCCTTGTGATAAACATGGTTCCCCTGCTTGCTCACAGGAAAAAGCTTCCACAAATAAACCAATTCTCTAATTATAGTCTATAAATGGAAAGGCCATTTTGCTTTAAGCAAAAGCTTTCAAAGAAAAAACAGAATTTAAGAGATTATCTGCTTTTAAAAAGACATATGCCTTTTAATATAGCTTTGATTACCAAAACAAACAGTTTTCAAGATCTTGACATTAAACAGGACCAATGCCAGCTTTGTGGCTGGCTGCAGATGCTCCTAAAATCAGGGTCCCTAAAACATCTTTTACAAAAATGTGGGTAGAGGATGGTAAGGGAGAGAAGGACTCACCAGTAGAAGACACACGTTCACACATTCTCCAACTAAGATATGTAACCCAAGGTACAAGTAACCTACATATGCCAAATTAAACTCAATCTTGACAAGTTTCACTTTTCTTTAATAGTAAGAGCATATTTTGTGTGGAGCATTAAAGTTCACAAAAAATCTTTTATATGTCCATCCCTCCATTTAAGGCTCAAAACAAGCTTGTTAGATGGGTGTGCAGGTATTGTCTTCTTGATGAATGAGGAAAACTGAAGGCTTATAAGGTTGAGTTGTCTGAGGTCACACAGTTTAAGGAAGACAGAAATAGATTTATAGTTCAATCATTTCTTTCTCAGAGTTCCATTCCTGGAGTCATCGTGTCTCTCAAGATAAAAAGCACAAGGCAAATCTAAAAGAGATAATTCTAATCTGAAAATTCCTGATGGTGTTCCACTGGTATCTTGAAGTCTGGAAGGGTAAATTCAGATATTGGTGAAAGGAAGTGACTCTAGGGCAGGCTCAAAAGTCTGCTCCAGGAGGGGACTTGTTAACATGCACACTCCTGAGCCTCTACTCAATCTGAATCTCTGGGGCTCAGGAATGTGCATTTAAACAGCATCCACCAATTTGATTCTTATGCACACTAAATTTTGAGAATCACTGCTCTAAGACACACAATGGAACCATGGAAGAATTTCTGAAATACAGAGACTGTAACAGATACAGATCCCATAACTAGATGCTTTGTATTTTCTTTTTTTTTTTTTTTTTTTTTTTACCCTAAATGGTAGATGCTCAATGAATAACAACTGATTAGAAGCATTAAGATGTGTGAGTGCTAAGCCTGTGCCAAGGCATGTGATAATTGCTTTTGGTATATTGCCTCATGACATCCTGACAACCACCTTGCAAAAGAAGTAGCAAACTTACAATTCTCATTTTATAGAGGAGGAAACTAAAACTCTGAGAGAAGCAATGACTTTGTTCAGCTGACAAGTAGCAGAATGAGGACTCAAATCTGTCTCTATCAGGCCACAGCCCATGCGTTATACTACCTCCCCCTAGATGTCAGCTTTCACAAATGAGCACAGGCCCCTCCTTTTGCTACCAGACTACACATTACTCAGCATTTCTCCAACTTGTCAATCCTGCAAGCTCCTTAAGCAATATCAATTCTAGTAACTGATGAAATTGAGATAAAGCTTATAGTACTTTTGATTCAAACTCAGCTGAAATAAAAGCCTGTGACTCCCAACCCTGTTCCCAGTTCTGCTCCTCCCAACCATGCTAGCATTGTTTATAAAAACAAAACAAACTCTATGGAGAAACACTTGAAGAAATGTCAGGTTTTTTTCAGACTCTCCTAATGCTTTCTCAAACCAAAGGGAGCTTGCTTTTCCAACCAGCTAGAACAAAGCATGTTCGGCAACAATTCTAGAAACATTGTTCTACTCCATACCTTTACTAGGTGGCCCTGCTGACACCTGAGTCCATTCAGCCCCTGGACAGGCCTTCATCCATCCTGGTCTCTGCTGGTCCTTAGCTCACACTGACATACACTCCAGACCAGACTGTGTGGAACATGGCCAACAGATTTCACATCCTGCCTTCCTTCCTCTTTGCACTTATTACTCAGGGTTGTGATTATAATCTGCAGTCATACGCCCACATGAGCAAACCTACAACAGAACCTCCAGCTCTAGCCCTGATTAATGTCTAGATTTTTTTTGGTCCAGCCTCGTAGGTCCCCTAAGCCTAAGCCTCACAGACCCAGCCATCTCCATATAACCTAAGCCTTAATGGAGACACACAGGACTCCACAGTGACAAATGGAAAGGCCCCAGTCCGCCTCAACTCATTTACTACCTCTCTTTTAGGTTTGGTCCTTATTACTAATTAGATAGTCCAAATGTGTGAGGGCAGCTTCATTCATATCCCAAGGATCTCCAACCTCTGGCAGCAATGATCAGGTAAATGATAGCACAGCTTATTAACCACTTACTAAATGGCCAGCACAGTACTAAGCCCTTTTCCACATAAGGATGAAATCACACATATTTTCATCCCCATGCTAGGTATGTTGAATACCTAGAGCACTGGCCAGAATTCAAACTGAAATCTGATTTCAAAGCCCACATTTTTAAATTGTGGCTTAGAGAAAACTATAATAACCATATTTTTAAGAGTATGAGCTGTTAAATAATCATTTAATAGTATCTTTTAAAAATAAAACAAGGGGATGATACACATTAAATTATGCATTTATC